ACACACACACACACACACACACACAAATATCCTCTCAGAACTCACCTCTGTGAGGCTCTCCCACCAACTCCAACACCTATCTATCTCTTCTACTACACTGATGTTATTGAGGCAAGGAAAATAATTCATTCATTTTGAGCCCCTAAAACTTACCCCACTGCCTGAAACAGCAAATTCTCAGTAAAGTATAGGTAAATAAATCAATGCAAAAGCCAAACTTATAATTGAGAACTCTAAGTTTTAGGGGTTTTTATTTGGTTTGGCTTGATTTTGATATTTCTTAAGGAGACAAGGTATTTCTACATGACTCTATTTTACTATGTGTAAGTGGTGGTACAAAGGAAGAAGTGCAAGGGCTATTGATGTCTAAATAGTTTTGTAACATCTAATCTTCTTACTAGAAGACAGGAATTTTCTGACTTTTAAGTAGCATAGGCAAATTTAAGAAGAAAATCTTATCTATTCATATATCATGGGAATTGATCAAATAAATGTAGAATCAGGTAGGTCACAAGAAGGCCAACGTATTATAAAGTCTTATACTCTCCATTTTTTATTTTGGCTTGGAATAGCAACTTTCTATTGCTATGTTTAAATTTTTATTTAATTGCTTTAAACTCAGAAATACATATTGTGGAAACTCAATCAAATCAGAGAACACTATTTTTTTTAATTATTTCATTACTAAAACTTTATTATAAAATCTATCACTTATATATTAAATCTTGACATAATAGTAGAAAAATAATAGTTTCTGAGTACTTCCAGTCTGAAGATTGTTCTTATAATCACTATTCTGTACATTTATGATAAAGAAGGTGATATTACTATCATTTTATAAAATTTTTCCTCCTATTATAATGATAACTGGCTTAGGTAAAGACTTATTCACCACTTTATACACTAGACTTAAAGATGCAGTAGGATGGTGATGAGGTAATTTCATCAATGAAATCCCATAAACTTCTTAAAACAGATTCTTTCCTGAATATTTCAGAAGCAGACTTAAAACTATTGACTTTGTTTATTTTAGGAAAGTACTTTACATTCTCTTTCTGCTTTATACAGTCACTTGAGAAAAATTTGTCCTCTTAAACAATGGATCTGGAAATGTGAGAATGGAGCAATATGGTTGATTTACAAGATTAAAAATATAATTTCTGTGTTTTAACCTGTATTCTCAGCTTTCACTGCACATTTAGAAATATAGTGTCATTTAGAAATAACTTTTCTCCTCAAGACACATCAATTTTTTTATTACTTCTGCAGGATGAAGCAAATGATCAACTTTCTCTGTAAGAACCAATGCCATTTGTAAATATATTCTTTTTAATTTTAATCAAGTATCTACAGGGTATCTAGTGTGTGCCAGGTATTGTGTTAGGTATTAGTGGAGTTGATGCTAATCCACATAAGGTTTATACACATAAATTAGGAAGAGACATCCATCTTTTCCTCAAGGTGCTTTTATGTCTAGCTTTCTTTAAAAAAAATGCAACTATATGCCAGGTGTGGTGGTGCATGACTATAATCCCAGCAGCTCAGGAGGCTGAGGCAGGAGGATCATGACTTCAAAGCCAGCCTCAGCAATGGCAAGGGGCTAAGCAACTCAGTGAGACCGTGTCTCTAAATAAAATACAAAATAGGAATGGGAATGTGGCTCAGTGGTCAAGTGCCCCTGAGTTCAATCCCTAATATCAAAAAAGAAAAAAAAAAGCCACTATATGCTTTCATTAGAACAATAAATTTTGCCAAAAGTTATTAGAAAAGAGTTGTATTAAATATAGCACTATATGATTTAAAAAGTGCTCCTCAGATGTGGACTTTATCTGCAATGTACCCTGTACAACCTTATGTTGTTCTCTTGATGCTGAGGACATGTGACTAGAAACAGTCTTTGCTTCTACAGAATTTATAGCATAGGAAAGACACAGAGCATAAAACAAAGAAATCTGGCCTGGGTTCAGAGGTAATAGAAGGCTTTAAACACTTAATAAACATCTAAAAGATATATTTGAGTTAACTAGGAAAAGGGAGTAATGGGAGATCAATATAGGAAGGACCAGTAAAGGCAGAAGCCTTGTGTTAGCTGAAAGCATGTATTCAAGAAATAAGCAAAAAGCTGAGCCTGGAGAAGTAAAGGGAAGATAAGGTGAAAGAATACTGGAAAAATAGGCCTTGGGTGAGGCCATGAAAAATCTTATCAGCCTTATTAAGGATGCTAGTTTTAGTTTAGGCAATGGAAAGCCATGTAGATTTTAAGTAGGAGTGCTGAGAGGGGACTGAGGTGACATGATCAGATTTGTATTGTGAAAGGATTACTCCAGCTTCAACATGGAGAAGGAAGTCGGGGCAGAATAGGATATCTGTTGCATAACTTTAGAAGGCAACCCCTCTGCATTGAGGATTATCCAATTATATAGTGAATTCTTTCCAAAGGGCACTTAGTGGAATATAATGTGAATGGTGTCTCCTGTAGTTGTGCAATATTGCCATGGCAAAATGCAGAATGTGTGGTTAGAAGGTTATAGTAGTAATCTAGTAGATTATGATAGTTTGAACAGAGTGGGAGCAGCAAATCAGAAATTGACAGACCTGAAAGTCAGATATGGAAGTAGGTTTTTACTCATTAGAATTACCCCACTATGAAGTAAAAGTTGTTAACAAGTAACTCAAATTCTGTTAATAATTTTTTAAAGATAGAGGTCCCATTTTCTATTTGATTAATCCTAGAAACGGATTTGAAACTTATTTGCCTTCATTCTAATTATTTAAAGAAAGCTTTTAATTATTCAGAATAAAATCACTTGTTATTTGGAAAGTCACCTCAAGTGGTAATTGAGCATTAAATGTGGCTAGACTAAATTGAGATGTGGTGAGTGTAAAATATACTCCATAATTCAGATTTAGAAACTCTCATTAATGAATTTTCATGTTGATTACATGTGAAATGATAATATTTTATATGTTTGGGTTAAATAAAATATATTATTGAAATTGATTACTTTAAAAAGTCTTTCTTAACATAGTTACTAGAAATCTTAAAATTATGTATATAGTTGTCACAATTCTATTCAAGAGTACTAATCTAGTTTACTTAGAAGTAGAAGTCTAGACACTTTTAAATTAGACAGTATGATGCCTAACTAGCACCATCAGGTAGGTAGTTTAGTATTGTTAGAATTCATATGCTAGATTTTGATTCTAAATTCAAGATTCCTGTCTCTAAGTTTTGTTACTCTTAATACTCACCACAATATGACTGTAAATGTTAGTCTTGGCAAGGGAAAGTATTGTTTTATCATCCAAACTAATAAGTTTTGCTTGGGGCTTAATCTTGGGTTCCATTTTCATAACATCATCATCAACTTTCAAATCTTGGGACAATATTGATCCTTCTGAAATTTTTTTGCTTTCTTCTGGAATAACATTGTTGAATGAAGAAAATAAAGAGTGAGCCTTGACCTAAAAAATTATTAAAAATGTTGAAAAATTGGTTGCTGTATTTATCATTTTGAAAAACAATCTATGTAGAAAAGATGAATTGGCTTTCTTTCCATTATCAGCAATATCTACAATGATCAGAATCACAATAGAAAATCTGTAAGAGTAGCTTAAAACTATAGGCCAAGTATGGGTGTATCCATTCTCATTCACTAAAAATTTCTTAAAACTGGCAAAATGTAACTTCAAATTATTTTCTAACAATGGAAGGAGCTCTAACAAACGTACTAGAAATTGTGACACACAAATCAGAAGACAGACAAAGAACAAATAAGGGCAGAATATGACCTCTAACCAACACATGCAAGAGAGAATCACTTTGAAATCAGATCCAGAGAAACTTGATATTCAAAGTGAAAAACTAAAAAAGCAGGATGATACCCTAAGTAATTACAAGAAACTAAGTAATTACAGTGAGAATTGTGAATGAATCAGCGAGAACTACAAGAACAAACAGCTAGCTCTAGAAAAAACAAAATAGCTTATCAGAAAATTTTTAAAAATCTGGGAGAATAAAGCATCTATAGAAAACAGGAGGGTAAACATTTCAAGGTTAAAGCAAATACAATCATAAAAATAAAAGTATACAATTAATGCTGAGAAAAAATAGATGGGCAGCAGATCAAATAAGTAATCTGGAAGCTAATATTGAGAAAATCTTCTAGAACAAAGAATTAATAAATGAAGATATAAGAGTAAAAGTGAAGACAGGGAGGGCTTAATAGAATGGAAGAGAAGAAATAAGAAACTAAAAGAAAAAACTTCCCAGACTCGAATAAAGAATTAAATCACCAGATGAAAAGAGCCCGTTAAATGGCAAGCAGGATGATGGAGCTAAGGCCTTTGCTAGCATAACTGAACAGTCATAAGAGTCGTAGGTTTTTATGCATTTTCCTAAAATAATAAATCTCATTCATGATAGAAATATGTAAACATAAATGCTCAGAACTATCTTTAATAAGAAATAGTAAAGATCTATATAAAGATAACCACAAGATCTACTCAATTAAATTATCAGGAGAAGCCCAATATTGTCAGTCAGTTCACCCCAAATTAAGTTTTAAATTCAATGCAATTTCAATAAAATCCTAGTAGGATTTAAAAATAGAACCTGACAAGGTGCTTCTAAATTTTATTTGAAAAAGAAAATGTTCAAGAATAGCCAAGAAACTTTTTTTAAAAAATGAGTGGGGGTAGGAGGCTAATAATAACACAAACAAGTGTAGTAAAGTTCAAGATTAGGCAAAGTGATCAATGGAAGAGAATAGATATCCATAAATAGATTCCTTATATAAGAAAATAATTTTAATGATAAAGATGACATTTCAAAATACAGCAAAAGAGAATGCTTGACTAAGTAATTTTTAAGAAAATAATTTTGGATCACCCCTACCTAACATAATAAAAACAATTTCTAGATGGGTTAAGAAAGCTAAACATTTTTAAACAAGCTATATGAACATTGAAAAAATAAAGGAGAAAATTTTAATATCTGACAAACAACATAAAATTCAGAATCTACATAGGAAAAGATTGAGAGAGCTGACTCTTTAAAATTAACTTGTAAATTACTAAATTAAAATGATAAGTTTTTGTTACAAACAAAAGACAAGTGACAAAAGTATGTGTAACATATGTATACAAGATAAAAGATTAATAGCCAAAATACATATAAGAATTTTTCCAAACAATGTGCAAGAGAGTCTAATAGAAAATGGTCTAAGGATATAACAGGTGATTCATAATACTATACACATTTTTAGTCCTAAAGAATAAAATGTCCTATTTTTGGCTCATCAGAGTGGAAGGGGAGGGAGAGGAGGGGGAGGAGGAGGGGGAGGGGAAGAGGGAGGAGGAAGGAGGAGGAGGAAGATACGAGGAGGAGGAGGAAGAAGATAGGGGGAGGAGGAGGAAATACCCTGACAATATCTTATGTTGGTAAGGATGCAAATAAATAATCACTATCACACACTGTCAAAAATTTGTAAAATGGTCAAGTCTTTGTGGAAGGAATTTCAAAATATCTAACAAAATTTAAAATGAATGTATCCTTTGACTATCCAAGTTTTTTACAAATCTATCCTGTAGAGAAATTTCCACATGTATATAAAGATGCACCCACAATGTTTGCTGAAATAGTGTTTTAAATAGTAAAACCTAGATATAACCTATATATATTATAACAGGTAATGAATAAATCAGAGTATTACTGGATGGTATGAAGTCACCAAAAGAATGAAGTATATATATATATATGTGTGCTAAAGTGAACTTAAGTCTGAAACATTGATTTTTTTAAAGCAAAAAAAAATCACTTAAGACTTAGAACTTGATTCTACTAAATAAAATAGTATATGTTGTTATATATGGAAAATGCATAGAAAAAGAATTGAAAGCAAAACTGTTAGTAATGGATACACTGGTAAAAGGGAATGGTGGGCATAGAATGAAGGCAGATTTTTGTATTTATTTGTCTTTAATATAGTTTGAATCTTTCCCATTGATAATACAGTCTTATGTATTGAAAATATTTAGGTATTATAATGACTTGTTTTAAAAATTAATTACTTCACAGAATAACCATTATACATGCATACACACATGCACACACCCATATATATATATAGGATAAACTTGGCATAACATTATTAGACTTCAAATTACTATTCTGTCCTCATTTAAGGAGTTCTTTTATAAAAAATGTAACAATTCATACCACTGTAATGTACTCAAATTCAACGATGTATTCTGGCAAGACAAGGTCATGATCAAAGACAAACCACTTGCACTGCCGAAAGCCACAATCACAATTTCTTTGTCCCACAATAGAATCTAGAATAAAAACAAAACCAAGTGAAAAGTCTTCAAAATAAAACAGCCTACACCTTTTCAACCTTACATAGATTAATAATAAGTTATTATCAATAGCTTCCAAAGTTTTTTTTAAAAAACTTTCCATTCCCCCAAATAACATTTTTATTCTATAAATACTATCATCCTTTCACTACTTAAACTAAGGCTCAATTTTATTCATCTCTCTGCTCCTTTTTTATACTTTTACTTTAGAATTGAAAAATATGGCCATGTATTTTTTCACAAATGTATTACTCTAAATCTACTGATAAAAGTTAATTTTTTTTATCCCTTGAAAAATAATACATTTATATACACAAACACACATACACACATATACAATCAACCTTCCATACCCACATGTTCTGTACCCATGAATTCAAACAACTGCAGTCCAAAAATACTTTCAAAAAATTGCCTGTACTGAATGTGTATGGACTTTTTCTTGTCATTATTCCCTAAACAATACAATATAACGGCTATTTACTTAACATTTGCATTGTATTAGATATTATAAGTAATATAGTGATTATTTAAAATATAGGGGAAGGTTGCATAGTTTATTTGCAAATGTTATGCCATTTTATTTGTATTTTTGTGGGTGCTATGGATTAAACTCAGGGCCTTGCACATGTTAGGCAAATGCTCTACCACTGAAAGCAGCCCTCCATAGCATTTTATATAAGGAACTTGAGCATCCATGAGTTTTGGTATCTATCAGGTGAAGGTCCTAGAATAAATTACTCACAGAGAGAGAGAGAGAGATAATCCTCTGTGTGTGTGTGTTCACCTACAATATATAATTAAATTTTGCAAAAATAAACTATGCATGCAGAAAAATAAATGTCTTGAGGTATGGAATAGAAAAATTAGTAGCCAGAAATAAATGTTTTTTACAAAATTTACAAATCTCATTAGGTGGACGTTAACTTTTAAGTATGTGCATTAAATATAAATGCTTTGCATTCAGAGTAATGAAAGCATATTTCTTTTTATGGCAGACATACTTAGTAAATATTTCCGAGGAACGAACACTGAGTTAACCATTGGATAGTTGGCTTGATTGATAACTTCTTGTTCCCGAGCCTGAACACTCTGGCCAAGAAAAACTTTCGTAATGAGGAGGATGCCTAAATATGAAAAAACATAAATCACTTTTAACAAGAAATAACCTTAATTGACTCGACATATGTTGTAAAGGCAGAGATACTGCATAGCATAAAGCACATAGTTGATATAAAATAGGAGCTCAATAAATATTTGTTGAATAAACAAATTGGTTATAAGAGAATCCTGTGATTATGCCAAGCAAGGCTTTATAGAAAAGAAACACTTAGCAAGACCATATCTCAAAATAAAATATAAAAAGTGTTGGGGATGTGGCTCAGTGGTTGAACACACCCTGTTCTCAAAAAAGAAAAGAAAAAGAAAGAAACAACATAATAATTTAGCATTTTTTAATTAAGTAGTCTAAAATAAGAGGTTTTTTGGTTGTTGTTGTTAAATGAGTAAAATTCATCTCTGTGTCAAGTAACACCTGGCATGTACCTTAAATCCATAGAAGACATCAAGTATGCATCTACTGAATGGATAATCATTTCTTTTCCCTTTAGATTCTTATGATCCTTAGAATTCAATTCACTAAACATGAATGCCCGAGAATCAATGAATCTGAAAATAATTTCTAATCACGGTGCATAAAACATTCAAATGTTTTTATTACTATGTACGAGATATTAAATATAAACTGCGAGAACTTAGTTTTTTTCCTTTGTGTGTGTTAATGTGTGTATATGTACATGTGTGTGTGTGTGTGTGTGTGTGGCACTGGAAAAGTTCTATGACTAAGTTACACCTCAGTCCTTTTTTAATTTTTATTTTGAGACAGGATCTCACTAAATTACTGAGTCTGGCTCTGAACTTGCAGTTCTCTTGCCTCAGTCTCCTGAGTAGTTGAAATTACTAGTATACATCACTGTGCCTGGCGTCATGAGGTTTTTTTAAAGGTGGAAACAGAAGAATGATAAAAAGCAGCAAATGGTTTTGCAAAGTAAGAAGTTCTATCTTGATTCAGTAATCATCTTAAATTTCTTATTAACCAAATGAAGGACTACAAAATACATGTCATTTAATTCAACATGAATCACTTTAGCAGAGCTATAGTTTGGAATCTAGAATATCATTTTTACAGAATTACATTTATGAGTATCCTATATTCAGTAGGTTTGATGGTTAAGACCAAAGAATAAATGCCCCTTACTCCCTGATCTCATCTAGTCTCCCTATCATAATTTATTTGGTACTACTCATTAATATTTCATGTTTATAGTCCTTAGGAAAATTGTAATTTAACATTTATTTATGTGATTATTAATTTTTGTAACCACCATAAAGAAGAAACTGTCTGGTTTGCATAGACTGTATCCCTATGACCTACCTGTGCCTAGCACAAAGTAAGTATTCCATAAATACTTGTAGAAGTAAAGATAGAACAGTGGAAGAAAGTGAGGCAAGAGAGAATAGGATAGCTGTGAATAAACTCAGAAATGTCTTATAAATTGATCCTTGTACTTATATAATTACAATATGTATTTAAGGTACAAATAAAGTAGGTAATTGTGAATAAATTAAAATACCAAAACTCTTTTAACTTCTATAAGACAACTTATAAAGTAATACGTACATTTCACAATTTATCTATAGATGGTTTTAAATTAGACCAGGTTTTTTATCATCTTATATTATAATGATTCAACACATGAATAAATCATACCTTCTAGAGTGCTCTGATTATAATATATACAGTGCAAATTCTGTTTTCTCTTTCCTGTGAGTTTGGTGTATATTTAACATATATATGTTGAGTTTATTTTTATGACACAACATAATGAACAAAAGCAGGCTGTGTAAAATATATGCGAGTTGGATTAAATATCTGAGTAACAAATGGGTCTCTTCCTACTGATGCTGACACATAATAATCACTCATTAAGTATTTGTTGACAGTGTGGCTAACCTAATGAATGAGAAAATTATGCATTACTACTTTGATAAATATCAAAATGGTTTGAAGAAAATCTCTTGGGTTGATAAAAGCAAGTATAAAAAGGTTATGAAAGTAATGCATTTGAAGACTTAGAACTTAACAGTTTAGAGACACTGTATGTTTGTATTACCGTGTCTGAAGAGCTCATTCTCAAGAGTGTTTTTCTTCTCATCTTTGTACTTTTGCTGTAGAAACTCAATTCGAGGACACTCACACAAACTTAGGCTATTAGCAAGAATAACAGCTTCTTTTCTGAGAGGCAGCTGCAAAGAAAATACAGTTGATTTTTTACAAAATTGATAATACTTTGACTTCAATACAGATGGCTTAGTATTTTATGTTTATGTTTAGGCAAAGAAACCTACAGGGTAGATTCATTGAAAAGAAATAGATAACCTCCAGGTGCAACTTCATCCTGCAAAGTCATTTAAATTTGTAAGTTCATATGCAAATAGATTTATTAAAAAGTGATAAAGAACAAAATTTGTTCCTGGAAAAGCAGCAAGGTCAAGATTGAGAACACTTTTGGTGCAGGGGCAACAGCTTTCAATGAGTACTCTACTAGCAATCTTGTTAACTCCAAAAACAAAGTCCTGTGAGAATGAGATATTACATCAGTGAAGGCTTTATTTACATAATAATTTTTTGGTCTAATAACCTACATTGTTTTCCAGAAACAAAACATTTCTTATTGTGCTTATGCATGGAAATTCTAGTTTGCATTGTGACTAGTTTAATTTCTTAACTTGAAGGACAAGTTGTTTGCCACAGGGAAAAAGAAAGAAATAGCATTTTATTAAAAAGAAACATAACACTGAGTTGTTTAGGAGAATCGCAATGCTTCATTTGGAACATTTAATCTATCTGGTAACAGGGTTTTGTTTTGTTTTGTTTTGTTTTTCAAAAGCACTGGGGATCGATCCCAGGACCTCACACAAGCTAGGCAAGTGCTCTATGATTGTGCTACACTGAAGCTAGTGTCCTCTGTACTCCAGCCAGCCCTCTACCTTACAAAGACAGCCAACCAAAGCCAAATCCCTCATTTAAACTATTTACACAGCTGTCTATTGACTCAGAGCCCATCTCAGAATGCAAAACATATGTATTTATCTTTACTCTTTGGATGAATTTCATGGCATAGAAATCTAGCATATCTGATCTTCTATATGTTTCTCAGTAATGGTTCCCCCATTTCTAGGATTTCACATTGAGAGGAGTTGACAATATTTCAAGAAAGGAATCTCTATACTGCTTTCCAGATTAGCTACACCAATTTGCAGTCCCACCAGCAATGAATGAGTGTGCCTTTTCCCCCACATCTCGCCAACACTTTTTGTTGTTTGTATTCTTGATAACCGACATTCTGACTGGAGTGAGATGAAATATTAGAGTTGTTTTGATTTGCATTTCTCTAATTACTAGAGATGTTGAAAGATTTTTTCATAAATTTCTTGATTGATTGTATATCTTCTTCTGAGAACTGTCTGGTCAGCTCCTTAGCTCATTTATTGATTGGGTTATTTGAGTTTTAAGTTATTTTGGGTTATTTTTAAGTTATTTTTGGTTATTTGGGTTTTAGGGTTATTTTGGTATTAAGTTTTTTGAGTTCTTTATATATCCTGGAGATTAATATCTGATGTGTGTGTGGCAAAAATATGCTCCCAAAATGTAGGCTCTCTCTTTACCACATTGTTTTCCTTTGCTGAGAAGAAGTCTTTTAGTTTGAATCCATCCCATTTATTGATTCATGATTTTATTTCTTGCACTTTCAAGAAGTCTTACTAAGGAAGTTGGGGCCTAATCTGACATGATGAAGATTTGGGCCTACTTTTTCTTCTATTAGGCATAGGGTCTCTGGTCTAATTTCCAGGTCCTTGATCCACTTTGAGTTGAGTTTTTTGCATAGTGAGATATTAGGGTTTATTTTATTTTTGCTGCATATGGATTTCCAGTTTTTCCAGCACCACTTGTTGAAGAGGCTATCTTTCTCCAATGTGTGTATTTTGGCGCCTTTGTCTAGTATGAGATAACCATATTTATGTGGGTTTGTCTCTGTGTCTTCTATTTTGTACATGTCTATTTTGATGCCAAAACCATCCTGTTTTTGTTATTATAGCTTTGTAGTATAGTTTAAGGTCTGGTATAGTGACGCCTCCTGCTTCACTCTTCTTGCAACCACCATTTGACTCAGCTATCCCTCTCCTTGGTCTATACCCAAAGGACTTAAAAACAGCATACTACAGGGACACAGCCACATCAATGTTTACAGCAACACAATTCACAATAGCCAAACAGTGGAACCAACCTAGATGTCCTTTTATAGATGAATGGATAAAGAAACTGTGGTATGTGGCTTAGCAGTAGAATGCTCTCCTTGCATGTGCGAGACTCTGGTTCGATCTTGAGCACCACATAAAAATAAATAAGTGAAATAAACATATTGTGTCCAACTACAACTAATATATATATAGTGAAATAAGTGAAATAAGCCAATCTCAAAAAACCAAAGGCCAAATGTTTTCTCTGATAAGTGGATGCTAATCAATAATGGGAGGGCATGGGATGAGCGGAGGAACTTTGGATTGGCCAAAGGGGAGGGAGGGGGAAGGGGAGGGGGCAAGCGGATAGGAAAGATAGTGGAATGAGACAGACATCATTGCCCTAGGTACATGTATGATTGCACAAATGTTGTGACCCTACTTTGTGGGCAACTAGAGAGGTGAAAAATTGTGCTCCATTTGTGTACAATGAATCAAAGAGTATTCTGCTGTCATGTATAACTGATTAGAACAAATAAATAAAAAATTAATAAAATTCCAAAAATTATTTCAAGAAAGAAGGGCAGATCAGTCAACTTTAAACTCATGGTAGTGTATGTCAAGAGGTAAGACATGTAACAAAAAGGAAACAATGACAGGACAATTACAAAAATAGGAGAGCACTAGTGAAATCTCATGAGTGCCAAAGGAGAGTTTGAAAGGGAGAGAGCTCATACAAGAGAATGTAAGTACAATCAATAGCATCAAATGTTTCATACAATAATGATAAAATATAAAAACTGGTCCAAGAACTTTTGGGGTAATTTTAATAATACATTTTATTTAATCTACTATAACCAAAATATTATCATTTATGACCAAAAATTTAGTCCTTTTTCTTCAATAAGTTTTTGAAAACTGGTGGGTGTTTATTTCACACTTATTAGACTCTCAATTTAGGCTATCCTTATTTCTAATGCTCCGGTGGCTGTTCTAGCGAACACAGCAGCACAGAAAACTATTGGGAGAATTAAAATAGATAGTTCATCTCATTTAGGAGATGCAGGAGATGAAGCACTCAACACAGAGTCCGGTGGGTACAAAACACACAGGAAGTGTTATTTCTGTCTTTCCCCACCATCTTTAACAAGATGGTTTATAATTTTCAGAAGTGAATATGAACACTTTGTCTTCTAAGACCCTGAATTCCTCACCTCTTATTTACCTTCCAGAGAGTACAAGAGCATTTTTACCACCATCATCCAGCTAGAAGTATCACATCTCTGGCCTGAGCTGCCACAATAGTACTCCCACATAGTGCCCTGCCATGTCTGCCCCTACTCCCTCCATTCTCCACTGAGCAGTCAGAATGCATTTTTTATTGTGACAAACTATACACAAGATAAAATTCACCATTTTCTTTATTTAAGCACATAACCCTGTGGCATAGGTATATACATATTACTGTGCAACCATCACACCACTATTCAACTCCAGATTTTTTCATTATTTCAAACTGAAACTCTATATCCTTCAAACACTAAACCCCCATTCTCTCATCTCCCCCAGTCCTTGGTAACATCTATTCTACCTCTGTCTCTATTTTGGCCTATCCTAATTAGTTCATATACATGGAATTATGCAATATTTTCATTCTGGCATCCAGCATATTTCATTTACCAAAATGTTTTCAAGTTTCTTCCATATTATAGCATGCATCAGTATTTTGAGTGTCTTTAGCTGAAAAACTTTCCATTACTTGTATATGCCACCTTTGTTTATCCATTCATCCGTGGACACACATTTGGGTTGTTTTTACTCTTGGCTATTTGAATAGTGATGCTATGAACACTGGTGTACAAGGATCCAAAAACTTTTGAATGCATTATTTCACTAAATCCTACCAATAACTCTGCAAAATAGATAGCAATATTATTCACATTTTACAGCTAGGAAGAAATAGGCACAGAGATGTGAAGTCAAAGCTGGTGAGTAGTAAGGCCATAATTCAAATGCAGCATGATATGAAAAGGATTGGAAAGCACTGTTCTATGAAGATATGCTATTGCTGCTTCATTAAGAGGGTGGAGGATTGAGAAAAGCAATGTGGGAAAAGTGAAGTAAAAGAAATGGTGGCAGTAAAAGGAAAGATAAACCAGGATAATAGCTAGAAAGCACAGTAGAGTTAAGGTAATGATTATTTAAATATAGAGAAGACCCTGGAGAGTTTACAATAGATTAAAGATTCACAATGGATTTATAGCCAATTAAAGGATATTTCAAAAATCATCAAAAAAGGATCACAACATAAAAATAAGATGCCTAGAGGGATTAAGCAGAATCAGGCAGATAAAGTGATTAATGGATTTACTATGCTTTAATCCAAAAAGGAAAGATGCTATATTTTCTATGATGTCATTAAGCTTGTGAAACAGCAGACACTTGCTATAAATATGGATGAAAGGATTGGGAATCATGCTTAACCAGTGGCAGATTTGCACTTATTAAGAAGAAAGCATTGTTCTAAGTGACATGCTACCTTGCTTGTCTCACTCTCTTTGAATCCTTTTTCAAGAATTTGTAGCAGATGCTTTTTCTTCACCATAACTTCAGGATCAAAAACATAAAAAAGGCACTCCAGCATCTTGCGATAGGTCCTTAAGAATAATTGAAACAGAAATTTTTTTAAAAAAAGGTTGAGAATTGATTTCACAAATGTTTAGTCATAGATAACCCAATGGTGTATCCATGGGGATATATTCTGTTCACAATGGATATTCCAGGGTCATTATTAATACCTCCACCCTACTACTCTTACTCTCAAAAGGAGGCCCAATGTGGATAAATTATGAGGTCATCCTACACATGGAAGATGCACTAAGAGGAAGTGTTTACTAAAAGGGTATATCATCAATATTGTTGACTTTTAAAATAAAGAATTTTTACAAACTAAAGCCAGACTTTTAAAAATTGTTCATTAGGAAATTTAACTTCTTACTCTGTATCATGCATGCTTTCGTGATCCAAAAACTTTTGAAATTTCTCTTCAAATTTTAGTCTCAGAATACGGTTGTTAACTTTAATGACACGTTTTACTTTTACTCCTGTAACACCATAAGTTCTGAAGTCCCATGTACAGAAGCGTGATAGAATTAATTCATAGCAGGAATTAAACCTATGTGAGAATACAAAAAAATACATGAAGAAAATAACAGATTTTCCTTAAAATACTTAAGAACACAAAGTTACATATAATAAAAGTTATGGCTTTTATTTTATGTTTTTTGCTAAAACATAGAGTAGGGGCTGGGGTTGTGGCTCAGTGGTAGAGTGCTCACCTGGCACCTGTGAGGCCCTGGATTCGATCCTCGGCACCACATAAAAATAAATAAAATAAAGGTAATTGTGTCCAACTACAACTAAAACATAAATATTTCTAAAAAAGACATAGAGTAGATCTATTTTGGTTCAAACTGGGCATACTGATTCAGTCAATAAAAGGATGCTAAAATTTCAAATACAGTTTAAAAAACCTCTTTTATTATTATTATATATTTCTTTGACCTAAAAGGCATGTTAGTTGAGTAATCCTCCCTTCCTGAAACTGCTTTTAGGGTTCAGTGAAACCTACCTGTTCCTGGATTTCCTCTTATTCACTGCCCCTTCACAGTTTTCTTTGCTGATCCTTTTTTAAAAATCTCTCTCTCTCTCTCTCTAATGCTAAGGTTTGAGCCCATAGCTTTAGCATGCTAGGCAAGCATACTATCATTGAGCTACTCTCCTAATACTCTGCTAGACTTTTAAATGTTAGGTTTCCTCAGAGACCAATATTTGGCTTTCTTATTTCCACAAACACTCTTCCTAGATAACTTCATTTGGTTCCTTTGTTTTATATACATAATAAATTACAACATTTTATTTCTAACCCTTTATCTAACTTAACTGGATATGCCCAGACTTGAATATCCAGCTACCTACTTATCCACTCTCCACTCATGTAAGATGTCTTTTAAATCTAACTTATCCATCACCAGATCCTAAACATGTTCCTCCCATTTCCGGATATGGCACAACAATGTATAGCTTAGGTCAAAGCCTTACCAATATCTAGTTCTGCATTATCAATTTATGTCTCCCCATAAAATATCATGCTTAATATAATCCTCTTTCCTTATCACACTGCTACCATCCAAGTCCAAGTCACCACTATGTCTCAGTTGGACTATTGCAATAATTTCTTAACTGGGGATATAGAAGTAAAAGAGGCAGTCTTTCTGCCTCTATTAGTCCCCTATTCCAAGAGGAGTAGATACAAAATGTTAGTAAATCTAAAAGTAAAATAATTTATAAACTGATAAGAGCTCTAAAAAAAGGAAGGCTTGAATGATCTTTCAGATAAGATAGTTGGCTTGAGAGCAAGAGGAGGAGGAGGAGGAGGAGGAGGGGCCAGTTATGGGAAAATTCCAAGAACAAGTATGTACTGGAGTGCTTGTTAGCTCTCTGCTTCCCTCACCTGGTCAATTATAAGATTATAATCCTGTTTTTTAAAGTTGGACTGAAACTAAAGATAAAATTGAAAAATTAAATTATTTTGACAAGGAAGTAAGTGATTCTGAATGGAATATATTTGCCTTCAATGACATGTCTAGGTCCTTACCTATATAATCAGGGTAAGCATGAGTTAAAGTCACAGAAGTGGGCTTTCCTGTGGGTGGTTTCTCCATGACCCTAATATCTGAATTCCTAGTCTACCTGTTTTACTAACAAATATTTATTTAGTGTACCCAGGAACTGACCATCATTCCTCTCTTAGAATTGAGAAATGATTTTCTCAAACCAAACCAATACCCAGAGGAGATCACAGTATGTTAGAAGTGATAATAAGGGTGAGGAATGCAAAGTTATACTGGGTAAAGGAAGCAGAGCAAAACCATTTACATAGTATCATGCATTCTTTAAGAATAGTTAAGCACACAGTTTATCTGAATCAAAAAGGTTAAAAGGATTGACAGTAATTTAGAGACATTGAATCTTTCACTATAGGTAGAAGGTCTGAATGCAATTTGGAAGGTGGCAAATACTACAAAGGTTTTTGTTTGTTTTGTTTTTAACAGAGTATTTTCTAATTGATTAACAAATTCTGATAACCTGCTACATGCAGCAATGATATACTATTAAAATGTCTTCAACCTTGGCTTGTGGCAATAGTGTAAGCAGATAAACATAGAGGTAAGAAAATAAGTGTTATGATTTAGATATGAAGTATCTCCTAAAAGTTCATGTGTGAGACAATGAAAGAAACTTTAGAGGTGAATGATTGTGTTAGGAGGATCTTAACCTAATTAGTGCATTAATACCCTGACAGGGATTAACTGGGTAGTAACTGTGGGCAGATAGGACTAGAGGATGTAGGTCAATGAAGCAGTGCCTATGGGGTATATTTATGTCCTTGTTGAGCTCTCTCTCTACTTCCTGGTAGCCATATCTTGAGCCTCTGACTTCCATCTTACTCTTCCATAAGGATGTCCTGCCTTACCTCAGGCCCTGAGGAATGGAGTCAGCCATCTATGGACTGAGACCTCTGAAACTGTGAGCCCCAAAATAAACCTTTTCTCTTCTAAAATTGTTCTTGTCAGGTTTTTTTGCTATAGCAGCAAAAAAAAAAAAAAAAAAAAATACAACCCACCACCACCACTACCACCAACAACAAAAAAAAACAAACTGACTAGTTTCAATTAGTAGCTGAATATGCTGTATGAGAAATGTTTTGAAAACAGGACATTTTTAAATTATAAATTGATATTCTGGCTGGTGATCCTATGTACTTAAAGTTATTTTTTAAAATCATACTTAAATTTCAAACAGATTTACCAGTCATCAGATCGAGTGCCTTCTTCAAAATGGATGTTTCCCACAGTCTCCAACTCAATTAGCAAAAATGGGATCAATAAGCCATGACTTTTCTTTTTTTGTTTTACTTCAATGCGATAAATTGCCTCAATTCTATTAAAGAAAAATAGATACATCAACTATTGGAATAATCTAAAAATCACGACACTAAAATTCACAATAGCTTTTTAAAAAATGTTAAAATATACACTTCCCCTTTAAAAAGTATTTTTGTGGTTTTGCTTTATTTTTAGTGTGTTATAGTTATACATAATGGTGGGGTTCATTTTGGCATATTCTTATATGCATATAACATAGTTTAATTCCATTTCAATCCCTAGTACTACTCCTTCCCTACCTTCCTCCCATCTCCTGATCCCCTTCCTCTACTGTATAGATCTTCCTTCTATTTATTTATTATTTTTAATTGATACATTAAATTTATGTATAAAATTGGGATGCACTGTGATATATTCATACATCACCTAGCATAATTTGGTCAGCTTCATTCTCCAGTTCTTCTTTCTTTCCCTCCCTCTCTTCCCCTTGGTTCCCACTTCTATCCTACTGATCTCCCTTTTGTTTTAGTGACATCCCATTTTACTCTATTCATTTTCTCTTCGGCTTCACATACGAGAGAAAACTTGTTGTTAACTCTCATATTTAACTTGTTAAATAAAGCCCAGGATATTCTATTTTTGGCAATTAAAATCACCTTGAAATTTATGAGTCTCAGAACAATAATTCCAGGGTGAAAAGACTGTCCTGGCTCTAATACTCCAGCTCTCAGATCTTAGACAAGTCATTTAGCCTTTTTTATGCCTCAGTTAGATAGCAATGTTGATAGTACCTATATATTAAAATGCTGTTTTGAGGATTATATGTAGAACTCTCAGTAAGAGATTCTAACATGCTGCCATTAAAATTATTATAGGGCAAACTCACTTAATATACTTACTACCTTAGCAAATAAAAATTATAAAAAGTAAGAACTATGAACTAAATAAGGACTATATATGTTCTTTTGCTGGGTCTCATCTATTTGGTGAGTTTTTGCACCAGTAATGCTTTATTGCTTTTAGTTTGGAGCCCTAAGAGCAACATCACACAGTCATTCAGAGAAAGCTCATTTTTTCTAATTAAAAGCTGCAAAACAGTGTATGCCAGCTGTGAACCAATAATGCTTATATGTACAAGGAATGGAAACTAAGAACACATTTCATATTTTACTTCATACTATAATTCTTTTCCATCCTGAATAAGGGAACTGAGCAATTCATAGGCCCAAACATTCTTATTCTCATGTTTCAAATCTGAACTAGACAATTCATTAAACATACTCATCTAGTTTTTTGTTCCAGAATGTTACCCTTTCAGTCAAGGCATTTAGTTTGGTCAGTATCTTCTGATGAAGAGTTGGGTCTTCTGTGACAGTTTCATGATTTTTTGGCTTTTCAACCTCAGTTAATTTATTGTTATTGAATCTATCACTGTGCCCTTTGCCAGATCCTTTGAGTTCAGCCAGTTCCCGTTCCAACTGTTGAAAAAAAAATGCCAGAGAGCAAAATAAAAATAAAACATGTCAAAGGCAAAGTTTGAATTCAGATTAATTTTTTAGTGAGATATAGCAAGCAGTCAACTTAAATTAACAACAATGAAATCTAGGTAATAAATAAGCCAAGCTTCATATACGAATGTCAAACACATGATTTCATCTTTGATGCAAGTTTGGTCAGCTAATTTCTCTTGAACAAATGTTGACCTTAGATACTTGAAATAGGACAGCTCTCAATTGAAAGAAATAGATTGTGAAATATTATTGAATTTGCTTACGCTGAAGACAAAGTAAGAATAAAAATAAATGCTGGTTTTGTTATAAATAAAAAATTAAATTTCAAATAATATAATTTTTAACATGTCTCCTTTTCAATTTTCAATATTTTTTCCAATTATGGGCTCTGGAAGAAAGGTTAACCATAAAAAAACCCTCAAAGTTTGTACACAGCAGTACACCATTTTCCGTTTGCATCAGTCCCCTTATGGCTCAAAACAGCAATGGTTTGTTTTTTTTTTTTTCAGATTTTGATATATTGTAGCTTTAGTTCATAATGAATTTTTTGCATTAACTTGGATATGTAAAAACATTGTACTAAATATTATTTATATTGATTACTTAGGCTTTGAGCACTCTCAAAATTTTGGGCCCAAGGCAAGAGCTTCATTTAACTCACTCTAATTCCAACCTCATAGGATTTCAGGATAAATTGTACTGTACATAAAATAAAAAATTTATGCATTATGTATATTTCTTTTCTAAAACAGCTATATCTACCTATTGAAAACAAATTAGGCATATTTATAGAAGTGTCAATAATCTACATAATCAATAGCTATTGTTTTTTACATTGAAGATTTTACTTAATACAAGTGAAGCACTGTTAATCTGAAAATTAATCTCAAAACACTCTAAAATCTTAAACTTTTTGGCACATTTTAGATTTTAGATTTTCAGAGTAGAGATGTTCAGTAAAGCCTGTGCAAATATTCCAAATCTAAAACACTTTGATCCTGAGCATTTGGATAGGGGATATTCTACATTGTATGTGCATTTACATAAGGAAATGGAAAATATGACTTTCATACATTGTTTTTCTGTGCTTTTTATTCAAATAATTTAAATTTTTATTAATGGTTTACTTTAAGAATATTTTTCTGATTATAAAAATTAAAACCTGCTCATTTAGAAAAAAAATTATAACTATTTCAAATCCTTTAATGGCTATATATTACTCCATCTTAAGAGTAACTTTTTTTCTCTTGTTAAACAGTCATGCAGATTCCAAGTTTTTATTGTTATTAATAGCATAGTGATGAATAACCTCAGAATAGAGTGCTAGCAGTAGATTTACTAAGCCAAAGGCTGTGAGTATTCTTAAGCTGTTAATACATGTGACCTAAGTTACGTTCTCTTTGATGGTGTATTGTGTATCATGTTCACGTTCACCAGCCTGCATTCTGTCATGTACTTATGCTTTGATAATTTTATAGGTAAAAATGTTTCTTGATATCTTAATTAGCACTTGGAAATTAATGACTGAACTCTTCTTTCAAGTGTTTATAAAGTCTTTTTAAAATTTCTTCTCTTAAGTGCTATTTTATGTACTTTGCTCAGTTTTTATATTTGGATATTTACTTTCCATCTTGTTTCACTTATGAGTACTTTTTTACTAAGGATAAAATCCCTTTGTCCATCATGTTTGTTGAAAATATTTTTTTCAGATTATCATTTGCTGTTTAATTAAAATGCTTTTAAGTACAAAAATCATTTTACTTTGTTATAACTAATCTCCGTTTTGTTTCACTGTGATTTCTAGTATTCCTTTTTGGTAGGCTGAAGTGAGCTAAATACTTTATATATTTATTCTTGAATTTTTTCATGTTTTCATTTTTTTACATTTAATCACCCCTGCCTCATTTACCTTTGGTAAAATAATACTAAGAACTCCCCTACTTCCACATAGCTTGACTATTTTTCTAATGCCATTTGTTGAACAATCTGTTATTTCTTTATACTTTTAAAATGTTCAATAAATTTTTATATATACAAGGGGGTTTTGAGGGAAATAATCCTTAATTTGGGGGATCCAGCTTAAAAAAGGAAATCCAACTTATTCTAGATAAAAGCCACCCATAATTTACTATTAAAGTATGGCTTGATTTAAAGTTCCCACTGTGTTGTATGGCTTAAAAGTATTCATAAAGGAATACCTTAGCACAAAAAAAATAAGAAAATGAATTTTGAGCACAGCCTGCTGGTGTCTAAGAGAAATGCGGCTGAAGTAAGTCTAAGGGTTCTCTATATCTCCAAATCACATTGAATCACATAGCTTTTTATAATTTTCACCACTATGTGAATCTATATCTTTTTTGAATTGCAGATTTCTAGAAACAGAATGCAGCTTAGTCAAGTGTCTGGAATCAAAACATTTTTAGAGCAAACTTGACTTGAAATTCAGCATTTAATATTTTATATACATATACACATATACAATTTTACTATCTTGTCTGTCAGTTATCTTAAGATGTAGCTCCTGAAATTTTGCATTATTAAGGCTTACATTTTTTTTCACAAAGCTGAATAATTTTATTCGTTCTTCTGGCAACTTCTGCAATTTGCATTTTCTATCATTCAGTTTTTCAAGGTCTTCATTAAGATGCCTCTGAACAGTTTTTATACGCATATTGTAATACATTATTTTTTTCATTGCTGTGGTCTAAAAGCAAGAAAGAGATCAGCAAAAACAAATTATAGGTAATTGTTCTATATAACAATTTAAAAGTTTTGTTAGTTCAATTAATAACAATAGCAGCAGTGACAGCAGCTTACAGGGTTCTATATTTAAATTTAATATGCAGAATATAAAATTCCAAAGATTCTTTTTATGGATAATATTTATGTATGAGGCATATTCACCTTTATATCCAGTATGACAACACACAGACACACACACACACACACACACACACACACACAAACTATAGATAGAATTAAATTTATAAGAGAATCTTTGAGTAATGGTACAGTACTATTAAAGAAAACATAACAACATTATTCCTATGTGACTAACTTAGGGAAAAATAAAGAAATACAAAGGAATTAAAAGTAAATGTAATATTAATGCATTCTGTAAAATCCTAAAAAATTGAATTTAATTTCGGTTTTTCCAAATCTATAAAAGGATGCTTTACATGAACTGGTTTTAGACTAAGCAAATGACTAAAATGTTAATCTAACCCAATCATTTTTAATTCCTTAATTCTAGTGGGTCATCCTGTTATTAATAAGCTAAACATGATAATTTAATTAAATCCATCATTATGAAACAGTGCTTGCGAGTTGTAGTAGCCGAAAAGAACCATCTGAGATGAACATAAACCAACTAGGTATTCTGTAAAAATGGTTTTAACCTGGTTTAGTGTTTCTCTTTACCAAGAAATAATAGTGTTTTCTCTTTACCAAGAATAAATTTGAAGACTCACAGTTGTAGACGTGTATTTTCTCTGAGTGAAGGCTCTTTTGTGTGTGTGTGTGTTTTTTTTTAGTACAGAGTGTATAATCTAGATCCCAACAGAATTATTTGGAATAAAATACAGAATAGAAATAATATATGGTATGCTGAAAAGGCCAAAAGAATTTCCTTTCCATGTGCGTAAGAAGTCTGCAACTGAAATCACTAAATTCCTCTGCTAAAAATAAGACATTCATAACTTAGGACAGACGAATAATGTTTTAGTATGATAATAAACTAATTTAAAAACCCCTGATTTAAGAGGAACTTAATTTCTGAGGTACAAATGAATCAGAAGAAAAAACTGTAACTTAACTGTAAGTTATTTTCAATAACTCTGGTATAATTGCTTGCCTTTAAAAAGTTTTCCTTACAAAATTAATCTAATTAATGCTAAATTCAGTTGCATGTTTGTATTAAGACTACTTTGGTCCCTTTGCTTCTTTGATGGTCAAAACCAATTAAAAATCATACAGAAGTATACTTGAGTATGGTTTCATAGCAATCATTTAAAAATTTCTTTTTGTAGTTGTAGATAGACAGAATACCTTTATTTATTTGTTTATTTTTATGTGGTGCTGAGGATTGAACCCAGTGCCTCGCACATGCTTGGCAAGCACTCTGCCACTGAGCTACAAGCCCCAGCCCTCATAGAATCATTTTTATAGAACCTAACAATTAAGATGGACTTTTATGCATATTAACTCATTGGATCCCTACAATAATCCAGTGGTGAAGAATAGAGATTTTATTTCTCATCATATTTTAATAGTTCAGAAAACTGAAGTTCAGTGAGTTGAAGGATCTTCCTTAAGAAAAGGCAGGGATTCAATTCACGTCTTTTGATCTGAACCCACATTTTCTTCTTCTATCTCAGGCTGACTCCCTGGTAGTCCTCCTGGTAGGTTCTGTCTTTACTTGCCACTTGTCATATGCACAAACTATTTCATAGTCATGGGTAAAAATCTGAAGAACCAACAGCACTCTGTTGAAGAGTTTACCACAGAGAACTGCTGCAACTTGACATCTTATGAATGATAATAAAGAAAGCATTTAAAAAAATCTATATCAATGGAATATTACTCAGCATTAAAAGAGAATCAAATTATGGCATTTGCAGGTAAATAGATGGAGTTGGAGAATATCATGCTGAGTAAGTAAGCCAATCTCAAAAAACCAAAGGCTGTATGTTCTCTCTGATAAGTGGATGCTGATCCATAACAGGGAGGGGGAAGGCATGGGGAAAATGGAGGAAATCTTATTAGGCTAAGGGGAGGGAGGGTGGGTAGGTAAAGTGGGAAAAGATGGTGGAATGAGATGGACATCATTACCGTAGGTACATGTATGACTGCATATATGGTGTAACGCTACATCGTGTACAACCAGAGAAATAAAAAGTTGTGCTGCAATTGTATACAATGAATCAAAATGCATTCTGCTGTCATATATACCTAATTAAAATAAATTAATTAATAAAAAAATCTATATCAAGCTGGGAGTGGTGGCATATGTCTGTAATCCTAGCGACTCAGGAGGCTGTGGTAGGAGGATCCTGAGTTCAAAGCTAGCCTCAGCAAAATACCAAATGACATACTACTCATCCACAACATTCCCTTGTAATTCATCTAGCCCACAAGTTTAAGTACCATCTTTCTTCTTGCAATTCTCATATTTATCTCTCTAACCTGGAAAACTCTCTTAAAATAGCAGACCCACACATCCTCTTTGGATGTTCAAAGCCTGTTCAAACTTTACATACCTAAAATTAAATTGTTATTCTTCCTCCTAAATATATTTCTCCCATACTCTTCCTCTGTTTTTCAAATAACAACTCACTCTTTTAATTGCTCAGGCTTATAAATTAGAATTATTCTCTACTTATTTCCTCTGTACTTCATACCCAATAAATTCATCAGCAAATCCAGATGTTTTTCACTTTATAACTACTAACAGAATCTGACTACTTCTTTTATTGTCTTCCACTAACACCCTGTATTGAAACATCTGCATCTCTCATCTGAGTTACTGGAATAATTTTCTAATCCTCTGTTCTTAATCAATTATCCAAAGAATTCTTTTAAGACACATCTTGTTCCTTCTTTGCTCAAATTTTTCCAGTGGCCCCATCTCCACAGTAAAAGCCAAAGTACTTACAGCATTCTACAGAGTCATATATAATCTGGTCCCTGCCACTCCCGTCTTCATCCCTTAGTTTTCTTTCCTTCAAATACTCAGCTTCAGCCATAAGCTTTCTTTGTTGTCCTTTAAATAGGCATGTTCCTGAACTAGGGATTTTGTACTTAGTGATCCCTGTTTAAAGCTCTTCCCCAGACATTCACATGACTTGCTCCCTCACTTGTTTCAGGTTTCTGCTCAAATATTGCATTATAAGAAAATCTTTTTCTGACAATTCTATAATAAAAGAGCCAATACCCCTTTCTCTGTCCTTATTAACAACCTCTTTTCATTTACCCTTGTTTTATCTTTTTTCCATACCATTTATGCTAGTCATTTGCTCATTCAGTTGCTTATTATCTGCCTTCTTCACTGGACTATATGCTCCAAGAAAGCAGGGATTGATTTGCTTACTCTGCATCTCCAGTGACTTAAACTGTGGCCAGAATATAACAGGCATTAAATATTTGTTAGAGTAATTAGCCAATCAACTAATTTTTGTAGAGCATGTTCACTCTGTTTACTTTTATGGAATCTCTGATATAAAATTAGAGATAGTAGAAATTTTAAAAAATATGGTTGATACTGTGAAGTTTTGCAGGTGTTTTTTTTAAGCGTTACTAGAGAAAACATTCCTTCCTGGGCCTCCAATGACTCTGAACGTCTGCCAGTAGACAATGGCATTAGCTTTTTGCTCCATATTACAAGATAGTTCACTTCTCAGATTAAAAATGAGAATAATCTCAATGTTAGAATAAAAGTGAAGAAAAAGGGGGAACTTGAGAATCAATCCATAGCACTAAAAGAGAAACAAGATAAATAGATAATCTAAGACATTCTTTATCTATGTTGAGAAGATGCATAGGCCACAAGGTGGAAGGTCCCTTATATTGGGCATCCATATTCTTGGCACATTATAGATACTCAAAGTCAATTTATGATTAACTGAATGAACAAATGGATTGGTTTTATATTGAGGATAATTCAGACACAAATCCATCAAGTGAGGCAGCCTGGTTAAGTTAGTGAGGTCCTAAAACAAAGATGGTGCACAGGGAGTGGAATTGGCCTAAAAGAGAGGTAGAAAAATGATATAGAAATACTAGTAATGAGCGTGGAGAATTCCCATGAACTCCAGTGTAAAATTATAGATCCCTTGGTGACTTGTGGAAAGCCCCTTATAGGAAGGTTCATTGTCAGCAAGATTTCAAGAGTGTAATGACAGCATGTGGAGGGCCACTTCTACTCTGAGTGACTCTCAAACCATTTTTAATTATACTAAAATCTACCCAATTTTTGGCATACTACCATCATCCATGGATACTTTATTATTTCTATATGAAATATTCCAGATGAGAGATAGTTACTTATTATATTTTTACTGTTATTTATATTTTATGTTTTTATATGCAGCACTAGTTCAGTTAGTTTAACATTAATGGATGCTTCAGATTTCCTTCTTTTAATTTTGTACAGATTATAAACAATTTTTTAAAGTATTTCACCTTCCAGTTTTATCATCAAATTCTAGTATTAATGTTGTTATTTGAATGCTTTCATGTGAAACATCTTGTTTACTGGGTAAAAGAAGAATTAGAGACAAAAAGTGATGAGATAAAGACAGAAAGAAGTTAATTATCAAACTTAAGTCACAGATAATTGATTAGGAATACACTTACATCTGCCAGTTCCTTGATCTGTTTGGCTGACACATCAAATGTGTCAAGTCTTTGAAGGCAAGGCAAGTGATACAATACATGTGTGGAATAATTACACAGCAGACAAACTGGATTGGTTTTATACTGAGGATCATTCAGACACAAATCCCTTAAGTGAGGCAGCCTGGTTAAGTTAGTGAGGTCCTAAAACGAAGAGTAATAATAATATTCAGTTAATTAAATGTGAATATGCATTTCTAAAGGAGGCATGTGAACACTTGAGGTCACCTATAAGTTAACGTAAAACATTTTAACTACATACTTAAACATGTTAAAGTAATTCAGAGAGTTAAAATATTCTTTAGTCAAAAACATGTTAAATTCCTGAAGAAAAGATCAACAATAACATCAGACTTTGTACAACTATATTTTTTCTATATTTACCAAACCATATAAATCAATTTGAACCTTGGAGCCATCACACATGTTGCCACCTCTGCACAGCTCCTTTTGCTAACAATTACCCCCAGGGTTCCTGGAGTGCTCTGCTTCCTTCACCTCTGTGTCCTACACTTACCACCAAGAAACACTGCTCTCCGTCTTCCTTGCTCCCCAGATCTGACATGTTTACAAAGGTTAGGGGAACCCATTCTGTTACAATCACCATGGAATTCTTGATTTCTCATTGTTTTCTGTTTGCTTGCTTTGCTTTTTCTATAAATGCCCCTTCTACCTATTATGATCAATTTTAAGCTAGTTCTTGGAGGGCCTAGTTTCCTCACAACCGATGGAGGGGGAAGGCTTGATCATGTATTTCCAGATCAATATTTCTTCTTAACATATTTTATTTTGATCTTTAAGTCATTGTTTATATTTTCTTTTTGTTTGTTTGTTTGTTTGTTATCTGGCCCTTGCTTAACTCTTCAATCTTACCTCTCCCTGCTTAAATTCTGACATTTTATGTTTTGGCCATACTGAATTACTTATAGCTTCAGAATATGCCAGAACCTATTTTATTTTTAGACCTTTACTCATATACAGTTCATTTTGAGTTCACTGAACTTCACTCAGCTTTGCATATTAATCTATATAGGCCCAATCCAGTTTTCACCTTCTTTGGGAACCTTATTTCAGACCCCAAGGTTAGAGTAGATGAGTAGAACCTATGAGTTATTTTAGCCACTTGGCTTAATTTTGTTATAGAATTTATCAGTCTGAATTGACAATTGCTTGTGAACCCAGCAAGTCATATGCCAAGGGTCTATATGAGCTTTAGTATTCAATCTATAGTCTAAGAATTGTTTACATTTATAAAGTGTTATAAAAAATAAAAAAGAATATGCAGCAGAAGGCCATCTGTGATCCAAAAAGCCTAAAATGTTTTCTATCTGGCCTTCTGCAAGAAAAGTAGAGACAAACTTTTCCTGTCTTCACTGAGACAAACTCAGGGATTGTACCTTAATGTTGTATTCCCAATACTCAGCATGTAGAACACAGAAGGCTTTAAATAAACATGTAAATTGAATCATTGTTTTCTACAAACCTCTTTCCAAGAAATCCTTATAATGTCCTTATTTCTAGGATGTTGCCTGAGGTAGGAGGGTACTAGGGTGGGGTGAAACTTGAAAGGATATGATGATAGGTAGTAGAATCAGAATCATTAATTAGGAGAAATTCAAAGGAAGAAACAGGAAATATTAGTTTTTTTAAAAAAATTTTTTGTAGTTATAGATGGACACACATATTTATTTATGTGGTGCTGGGGATTGAACCCAGTGCCTCACATGTGCTAGGCAAGTTCTCTGCCACTGAGCTACAGTCCCAGCCCCAGGAAGTAATAGTGCACCAAAACAGACTGCTAGACCAATGGTACAAAATAGAGGGCACAGAGACTAACACACAAAATTACAATTATCTTATATTAGACACAGTTGCCAAAATCATGCATTGGAGAAAAGATAGCATCTTCAACAAATGGTGCTGGCAAAACTGAAAATCCATATGCAACAAAATGAAATTAAACCCCTATCTCTCACCATGCACAAAACTCAACTCAAAGTGGATCAAGGACTTAGGAATTAAACCAGCAGAGACTCTGCATCTAATCGAAGAAAAAATAGGCCCTGATCTTCATCATGTGGGATTAAGCCCCAACTTCCTTCATAGGACTCCTATACTGCAAGTATTAAAACCAAGAATCAACAAATGGGATGGAATCAAACTAAAAAGTTTATTCTCAGCAAAAGAAACAGTTTGTGAGGTGAAGAGAGAGCCTACATCCTGGGAGCTCTCACACATCAGATAAAGCACTAATCTCTAGGGTATATAAAGAATTCAAAAAGCTAAGCAACAAAAAAACCCAAATAACCTAATCAACAAATGGGCCAAGGACCTGAATAGACACTTCTAAGAAGAGGATATACAATCAATCAACAAATATATGAAAAAAATGTTCATCATCTCTAGCAATTAGAGAAATGCAAATCAAAACTTCTAAGATATCATCTCACTCCAGTCAGAATGACAGCTATTATGAAGACAAACAATAATAAGTGTTGGCAAGGATGTGGGGAAAAAGATACACTCATACATTGCTGGTAAGACTGCAAATTGGTGTAGCTAATATGGAGCAGTATGGAGATTCCTTGGAAATCTGGGAATGAAACCACCATTTGACCCAGCTCTCCCTCTCCTTGGTCTATATCCAAAAGACTTTAAAACAGTATACTATAGGGACACAGCCACATCAATGTTTATAGCAACATAATCCATAATAGCTAAACTGTGGAGCCAACCTAGATGCCCTTCAGTGGATGAATGGATAAAAAAAATGTGACATATATACACAATGGAATTTTACTCAGCAATAAAAGAGAATAAAATCATGGCATTTGCAGGTAAATGGATGGTGTTGGAGGAGATAATGCTAAGGGAAGTTAGTCAATCCCCAAAAAACAAATGCCGAGTATTTTCTCTGCTATAAGGAAGCTGACTCATAGTGGGGTAGGGAGGGGGAGTATGGGAGGAATAGATGAATTCTAGATAGGGTAGAGGGGTGGGAGGGAAAGGGAGGGGGCAGGGGATTAGCAAGGATGGTGGAATGTTACAGACATCATTATACAAAGTACATGTATGAAGACACGAATTGGTGTCAACATACTTTATATACAACCAGAGATATGAAAAATTGTGCTGTATAACTGCAATAAGAATTGTAATACATTCCACTGTCATTTTTTTTTAAATCAATAAAAATAAAATAATTTTAAAAAAGGTAAATTACAAATGGAATGGGAAGGAGAGAATGAAGTCAGGATGCTAAAATGAAGAGTAAAACAGTGTCAGGTTACCAATATGTGCCCAAACTCTCTCTGGACAAGTAAGAATATGGTTCACTGACCTGACCTCAGGCTAGAACTGGGCCCACAAGTGGAGTGGGACTAAGTAGAATTTCTCTAAAAGGGAGATTTATGGACAGAGCTATGCACATAATCATTTGACTGAATTCTGCAGGGGCAAGAAAGATAAACCATCTGATGTCCCAAGAAATAAAGATATCTTTTGATTACTGAGTGGCTATGTTGCTTTTGACCATCAGTCTGGGTTAGGAGATAGAGAGTGTGAACTCAGAAATGCTAATGAGGAACCCCCTATCTACACTCTAAAGTCAGATGAGGTTGGAATCCATGAAGGCACAAAATGTCATTGAAAGTCAGTGTTATGGTGCCTAGTAGAAGTTATTCCATCACCACCAGGATAGTATCTTTTTAGGGTGGGACAAAAGGTTAAAGATAAAAATCTAGGTAACAGTGTTGCAGAAACATTTCTAATATGAGGATAGTAAAGTTCCTGTGAATCACATTCAATGTTTTTATGGTAAGTTGCTAGCATTATCATATATAGTCTTTCTAATATTACATCTTACAATGAATTTTCACAATAGTCCTATTTTACCATCATTTAAGAAATAAGGACATAAAAATATAACAGGCTAATATAAGATAATAGCAATACAAGCAATAAAACAACACATATTTATTATTGAGCCCTTAGTATGTAATAGTCACTATTCTAGTAGTTTTACATTATTTTTCACTGAAATTTTATGCTACAACTGTATTATGCTACCTCTGGTATGGGTCAGGACTAGAACTAACAGATCTCTCTGCTTACTCAGCCTGTGCCTGTAATCACTAGAAGGCTGCATGGCAAACTACAGTAAGATAAACTTCCACATGGCTTCTTCGCAGGGCAGTTGCATAGCCTCCCAGCATTCTGCACTTATCTCCTTCAGCCTCAATCTCATGAATCTCTCCCTTGCCTTGTTCCAGTCACATAAGACTTCTAGTTTCTTTTCTTTTTAAAATATATTTTAAGATGTTGCTGGACCATAATTTTATTCATTTATTTATATGCAGTGCTGAGAATCAAATCCAGTGCTTCACATATGCTAGGTAAGTGCTTACCACTGAGCCACAACCCCAGTACAAGACTTCTACTTTCTTGAATTGGCCATGCTCCTTTCCACCACTTATGGCCCTCATCCATGTTCTAATTTTGCCTGGAATGCTCTACCTCAGCTACTCCTACTCAGATTTCACATATTAACTAAATATTACTAACCCCCTTCAAGGATGACTCCACAAGGCTAGGTCACCTTTTTATATGTTGCCACACACTCTAAATTTATCTTTCACAGTTCTCTCTGACTTCTTCCAAAATTTAAAAATATCTAAACCTAAAGTTTTATCCACATTTCACATTGTTTTCTTGGAATAGATTCCTAAAAGTAGACTTGATAAAGGATAGAAACCTTTTTATAGGACTTGGCATATAATGTCTAAATGCTTTCTAGAAAAGCTCTATCAATTTAAATAACTCCCAAGACCATATAATTGTCCTTTTTACCCTAGTCTTTCTAGCATATTGAGTACTATGTTTATTTAAAAATTGCCTATTTAAAATATGATCAGTTTAAAGTTACATGTTTTAATTTGCATTCTATTCATTCTCAATGAGATTGAAAATTCTTTTATGAATTTACTAGGCATTTAGAATTCAATCTGTGAATTATTCAATCATTTATTCTTTCTTCTACTGGGTATGTTAAGTTAGTTGTTTATAATGGATTTAACAGTAAGAATGTTCAATTTTAGCCTACCATAGTCTCTGTAAAAATAATTTTCCACATTTTTTTGCCTTTTAATTTTACAACATGTTTAACATACTTAAGTTTAAAATTTCCATGTAGTTAGACTTGAACATTTTGTGTATTCTTAAACTAGCAGAATTAAAGGGGACAAAGACAAATACACATATATACCCCACTATCTATCTTACTGGCCATCCCCACCCTGTGACAACTGTTACCAACCTCTCAATGTTTCTAGTTTCAATAACAAACTTACTTCCCATGTGTTAAATCTGATTCCTCATCTGACGCTGCGATGCTTTCAATAGTGGAAGAGGCAATCTGCCATGTTCCCTATGTATTTCTTCTTACTCTTGCTCAGTATGTAAAGAATGCAAGGCCTGCCTTTTTTTTTTTCCCATCCATTTCCACAGCATGTGTTTGCAATGAGTAATCTTGAGAGACGAATTAATATCCCCTGTGGGAGACCAACCTTGCACATGACTGAGTCACACTCCCTGGCTGGGTTCTGAGGTGCTCAGTCTCCTGCATGGGTGTGTCTTGTTACAGCCCCATGGGTGGAGCTATGCTCACCTGTTCCTTTGTAATATAACCCCTTGCCCTGTTTAGGATAGAATCTTCCATGGAAGTGCCTTGTATGTGTCCCCTTCTCTTAATGTGCCCTTGGGTGTGGCCCACCCAGATGCCAGTCAACCTGCCGACAGTGGACATCATGAAGATAAACTCAGCCCCCTGACCCCTTGTCTCATTTGAATAGCTTCTCCTCAATTAAAGATGTCAGTGTGTGCTCTCACTCTCTCTTCCTGCGGATCCTTAAGGTCAGAGGAGCGACCCCAAAGAAAAAGGTACTTGTGTCTCTTGTGTGGTTATTTTGCACAGCCCAGTTAACCCAGTTTACCTGGAGTGACCCCTGAGCCTTTTAGTCTCGAGAACAGAAACCTGGCAATTCCCTTCTCCAGTCTCATATTCCTCTATAGAAAGTAGGACTGATTCTAAAGCAGTAGATTCCTGTAGCTCTGTGTTCCTTAGGTGTGATATGCTGCAAACCCAGTCTTTGTTCAGTAGTCATTTGGATGCATCAGTTACCCTGTGGAAGTTGGAGAGCATGGGATAACTGAAGCAAACCAATATTTTGCTCATGCTACTTTCTAGTCCTTTGTCTCAGACCCAGGAATCATTTCTTCTGCCAACATCCATGAAACAGTGACAGGCTAGCTTGCTCACTCAGCTGACTTCATTACTCTACATTCAGTAAAGTACTTAGTCAGGCAAATGTTTAGTTAAGGAAAGAGACCACAATTTGACTCCACCTAGGGTCACAGATTTTTTAGTCTCAACCTCTGACTTGCTTGACCAGGTGCTTCCAGCCCAGCTCACTACTTAGCCAATCAGTTAAGTATCAGCAGGTCATCTAATATACTGCCAAACACATTAGACTACCAGATGGAATCCCATGACTAAGATTTTTTCTCAAGACATGGCCTGACAAAAGTCTATTTGTTTCCATGACAAATTAGGGCAGATATTATGGATAAGTTTTCTTCATCCCTGATCTATCTATCTAATTTGACTGTGGACTATCCTGTTTAAAGTTCTCTTATCCTTTAACGACTCTGATAATAATAAGTCTTCAACTTTTCTTGGAGCTCTGTTTACAGATTTTATCTTTTCCCCATTTTCTCCAAATCCCCCAAATATATGCTTTGTTCCAAGGGCACAGATTTATTACTCATAGCCATTTAGCGAACAGGAAATGTATTCTACCAATTCTTAAACTGACTATTCTAGTTATGAATTTTAGCCCCTCATTTCCAACCACTTATACAAGCTCTTCACCTGATTATTACACTAGTACACTGAATTCAACATATCCGGATCAAATACATTCTCTTTCATTCCAAACTAGCCACTAGAAAATTTTAGATAAAGATGAGTAGGAAATAATTTTGAATTGATCAGTATTAAAATAGACATTATTTTATGCAGAGAAAAATACATAAAAACTCCAAGAAGCTACAAAATAAAGCAGAATAAGAACCTTAAAAAGAAATTTAAATAGGTCTTGGGTTGTAACTCAGTGGTTGAGTGCTTGCCTTGCATGTGTGAGGCACTGGGTTTGATCCTCAACACCATATAAATATATAAATAGAACAAAGATATTGTGTCCATCTACAACTATAAAGCTGTTTTAAAAAAAAGAAATTTAAATGAAATTTTATTTTATTAGTCAAATTCCAGAGTAAATACTTGTTATACATGGAGTCCTATGACAAATATTTCTTGAGCTATACATGACAAGTATTTCTTGAGCATGCTAAGTACTGGAATTACAGATCCATTTTGTACTCTCTTTCTTTTCACATTCTACTAGGTGACAAATGCTGCAAGTTCAACAAACATAAGGTCTCTCTCATGTATTACTTTTTCTTCTCTTTTTCTCCCTTCTCTTCCTCTTCTTCTTTCACTTTCTTCTTCGTTTTTTTTTTTGTTTGTTTGTTTGTTTTTTTGCTTTGGTTTGTCTACAATATCTCATTCAGACAAGTTTCATAGTCTCCTAACTGGCTTTTCTGCTTTCTGCTGCACCAAAACAATAAATAGTAATTTCAGATTATGAGCCCTAAGGATCATCTCTGATTATATCACTCCCTTTCTCAAAGACTCTGAAAGTGTTCTGTTGTCCATAGCATACAGACCATATCAGGACCCAGTTTGCCTTTCCAATTTTAACTTCTAGTATTTCCATATGTACACTCTACTTTGGTCAAATAACAATGCCGATGTTACTCAAACATACTCTTTGACTTTTTACCTCTACACCTCTGTGCACATTGTTCTTTCCCTCTTAGAATACCCATCCCCTGCTGCCCAGAAGAGCCACCTACAAAGTCTATTAAAATTCTGTTGGCTTTAACAGAATTTTAGTTTCATAAAAAGTATTTCCTCTGGAATTTGACTAATATAATAATTTTTTTAAAAAAAATTCTCTTTAAGGCAGTTATTCTTCTTTATTTTGTAGCTTCTTGGAATCTTCTTTTATTTTTATCTAAGTAAAAGAATGCCTATTTTAATACTGATCAATCCAAAATTATTTCCTACTCATTTTTATCCAATATTTTCCACAGGAAGTATTTGAATATGCACCTTGAATATGCTCACTGTCAAAATTATGAATGCCACATGATTTAACCCACATTATATGTATAACCATAACACCCCTAATTTGGTTGCTTCGTTGGCATTCAAGTTCTTGACAAATGTTTACTGTGATTTACTACATGTACAGCACTGTTCTAAGCATTGTAGATAAGCAGTGAGCAGAATAGGCAAAATTTATGAATACATGGAGCTTTTATTCTAGCAAGCGATGTGCTGAGAGGTAAAATTAAACTGAAAAGGGTGATTTGAAGTGCTGGGGAGAGTAGTGGGGCTTATTGCTATTTTACCTATATCAGCAGGAAAGACATCATCAAGAACATAATATTTGAACAAAGATCAAAATGAAAAAAAGGGAATGAGGCCTACAGGTACATGGGAAAGAATACTTCAACAAGTACAAAGGCCAAAGTTAAGAGTGTACTAGGTATATTCAGAGAATGGTGAGACCAAAATGGCTGGAATAGAATAAATTAATGTGATAATTATAGGGTATTCATTTAACATTTGAGAAGCCATCTTAAATGTTAACCACCATCTTACTCAAACTCCTCCCACCCCCATTAGTGACTTACCCCATGGAACCATAAACCTAAGCCAATTCCAAAAGGACTCGATCCCTTTCCTCTGCAAAAGCCCCATGGTAACCATTGATCTAAGCCAATACCATGCTATTCCCCACCTGCCTAGCTCTGCCGCAAGCAACCCTGAGCCTATCCCATAGCACCACAACTACAACTCCAAATCCCAACCTCACAAAAGCTGAGCACCCAAACATCTCGGGGCCTCTCTCTTCTCCATAGAGAGATGGCCTTTATTTGTCAGCTTTGACAAATAAACTTTTGTGTGGATCTCTGCCTGGTCTCTGTCCTTCCTTTCTCACTGGCCTGTATCTTGCTTTCTCATTTACCTTTCAATAATGATAGATGCTGTGGTTAGAGAGACAGTTGTGGGTGAGAGAACAACTAGACTTTATAAAGTCCTATGGGCCATTTTAAGAATTGTCTGATATTGTGAAAGAGATGAGAAGCCAAGGGAGGATTGTGAGCAGAAGAGTGGTTTCATCTGGCATATTTTTAAAGGTTTCATCAGGATACTGTGTGGAGAAGAGATTGACAGTAGGGGAAAGAAAATGAGAGGAAGAGATGTTAAGATTTTTTTTTTCTCTCAATAATACAGGTTAGAGATGATGGTGTCCTTAATTATATTGACAGTGATGTACATGGTAAGAAATGGTCAGACTCTGGACATATTCTGATGGGGGGACCAATGGAATTCACTGATGAATTAGATGTGGGATATGAAGGAATAAAAGAAGTAAAAAAAACTGCTATAAGGATTTTGGCTTAAGTTACTGGAAGAATGAAAATGCCATTTAGAGAAGTGGGGAAGCCTGTAGAAGGTTTATTGGAGGAGAAATCAGTTTGAGCTAGGATAATTCTAGGGAGTTATCAGGAAAAGTAGAGGTACCAATTTAGGAGTAACCAATAGGTAAAAATATTTAAAGTCATGAGACATGATGAGATTTTTTAGAGAATGAATGCAGACAAATAAGAAAAGATCCCAGGACTGATCAGGGACACTCCATTTTTTTGATGCTAGGAGAAGATGAAACCCCAGAGACTCCCAGAAAGACTGAGAGAAAATTAAGAGAAAATGACACTCTAAGAGTCAAGTAAATAGTTATCTTTTTTGTTTTAATACTGTCAGATCATAAAGTCAATTTAGTCAGATGACTCTGAAATTCCCTGAAGTATAAGGTAGCCTCAAAAAAATGAATCTGTTCCTTTAAAAGGGACTAGTTAGTCAATTTTTCTGCAATTATATGGTTCATGATTCAGATAAAAACAAATTATTCCACTTAAACATACCTTGAAAGAACATATTTGGTTACCAGAAAGGTTAAGCTTCTCCAGTTTTTCATTGATGTCAAGACACCGACCTTTGATTTAACAAGAAAAAAGAAAAATCAAATTTCTTGTTTTATCTCCTTTTCATATCTTAACATACCTCTGAGTTATATACAGCCATCATTTCCTACATATCAGCAAGATTAATGGTACCATTAACAGCTAATATTTTCACCATTAACAGCTAATATTTTCATCCTATAAACATGAAATAAGAAATACTTTGTAAAGATATTATTCAAAAAATCTAAAAGAAAGAAATCTATCCATATACATGTTTATATTGATAAATAACTGTTGTAGTTTTCTCTCAAATTCCAAATGAAACAATACATACCAATGATGCTTATCAGATTTCCTGCAAGGTTGAGGTCATTTAAATTCTTCAAAGTCTGTAAGCCCTGAAAATTTAGACAATATGTTATTTAGAAAAAAATCATTAAAATCTTCATTTCCAAGTCATCCCTGATTAATCTGGTAAGTTCTCTGGATGTTTTGTTTATTGGGTGCTGTGTACTTCACAAGCACAGAGGGAAGTGGGTATCTCAATGAAGCCATCTTTGTTTCTCCGTATTGGAACCTAGAGAGAACTATTGTAAGAGGGAACAAGAAGGGAAGTGGAGACCAAAGAGGAGGAGTTGAGTGGAAAAAGAACACATTACACACATGTTCATAATCTAAGACAAGTCATATAACTCCTCTAAATATCTTTTAAAAAAATCTTCAAATAACAGCATTATCTTTCCTCTCAGGTTTGTTGAGAGAAGTAATGATGATGATGAATATGAAGCCCTCCATTCATTATAAAATGCTGTGTTCATCTTAGTTATTTTAATCATAATAATTAAACTAGTGATAATTATTTTGATCCCTAATCATAATCCGATCTTAGACATTGTGGTTTAAACTCTACAGAAGTAACTGGTTTTATATATGAATCATTGAAATTATCTTACCTCAATATTTTTAATCATGTTGTGGTTCAGCCAGAGGACTTGCAATTTAATTAATCTGTCTAAATTTTCTATTTTAGAAATTTTATTATAATATAAATACAATTTTTCCAAATTTCTACATTCTTGAAGGCCTCCAATTTTCTGTTTAAAAGGAAATTGAATTGTATTACATTATACTTTGCCATTAACCCTTCCAATAAAGTAAGTTTCTAAGTAAATTTTTATTAAATATAACATTTTATTGTGAAAATAATGTTCAAAAAATTAACTAAATTTTTAAAAGAGAAAGCATATAATTACTCCATCTTCAGTTTTATTTAGTTTTATTTAAATTTTTAATCAACTCTATTTTATAACTATAATCATAATATATTATGTAACTTGGTGAAGACTTTTTTTATTGAAGACCATCTAAAATGTTTTATAATCTTTCAAATTATAATATATAATAATTTTAGAATATTTCTTGAAGTTTATAGTAATTTTTAAAAAAATTACTCTATGAATAAAATTCTTAGCTACTATTTATAATACTGCAACAAAGAGCTTCATACATACATTTGTTTTCTGCTGTTGAATTACTTCTCTAGGGTACAATTTTTAAAACAGGATTTCTGAGGTAAAAATGTGTGTACATTTCTGTGGCTTTTGGTGTTTTAAAGTAATGAATTTCAAAACTGATGTCTAATCAACAGTGTGTAAGTAAACCAATTTTACTGTTAAGCAGTGCTAGCTCTGATTTGATTAGCTTTGATAACTAAAAAGTAAAATATGTTTATGCTTTAATCACTTATTTCTAATTTTTCTTTTTTGAATATCAATTTCTATCTTTTGCCACTTATCTGTTTTGCTCTGCTTCATCATAATTTCAATGAATTATTGTTCCAAAGTCAAAATTTCAGTATAAAATATTCCATTCTAAGATTATATATTTAAGCTTACCTCGATGCAACATTCAGCAATCCAAAGTTCTTTAAGCAGAATACAAGTCTCTAACCCTGAAATTTCTTTTATATCTTGAGCAACAATTGTAAGACTTGTTAAATTAGGAAATAATGATAATCCAACTATACGGGGATACCCTGAGAAAAACATCTCCAGTTTTGAAGCATTTGATCCTTCTTTTCCAACTATCTCATAAGATAAACCATTGCACAAACACTGTTTAAAAACAAAAAGAAATTTAATTATTTCTATTTTAAATAATGAAAATGATTTTTGTCATTTGAAATTACAAATTGTCAATTGTACTGGTGCCATTTTTATATCTCTCACAAGAAAGTAAGTTGTACCACATATGTGATTTTTCTGTGTTTCCAAAAGGCATATTGCAGAAGAAATCACTAGATATTCCTTTCAGCTCCAGAAAAGTGCATAAAAAATGTTCCCTCTCATATTTTTGCAAATGTTCAAAAGAAATTTAGATCTGACTCACCAGTTCTTTAATTATTTCTTCTTGATGTAAATTTTCACTTTCAATCATCTTCCATTAAAATAATGGTCATAATAATGTATCTATTAAGGAAATCAAATGAATACTCGGGTCATGTCATTATAAACTGAAAAGGACCTTAAAATTAACTTAAGTTGAACCACCCAACCTAACTTGAAATCTTCATATAGTATATTACCAGACAGCTGGACCCCAAGACAGTCTATTTGATCTCTGAAGTTTTCTGTTTGAAAGCTATTTTTTATTCTGAATTTAATTCTGTCTCTCCATAACTCCTCTCTTTTTGTTGCCATCCTATCCTTCATTCAAATAAAATAAGTATGATTTTTCTACTGTATAATGAGCCTTCAATACTTGAAGAAAATAGTCATTTTTCATCTACACCCTTATCTTGCTCTCAGTTCAATTCTTTTAGTTCTTTTTTTTTTTTTTTTTTTTTTTTTTTAAAAAAGGGGTTTTTTCCCCAGTTGGTGATCCTTTGGAGAGAGAACCTTTAACAGAATTTTTTTTTATTGGTTGTTCACAACATTACAAAGCTCTTGACATATCATATTTCATACATTAGTTTGAAGTGGGTTATGAACTCCCAATTTTACCCCAAATGCAGATTGCAGAATCACATCGGTTACACATCCACAATTTTACATAATGCCCTATTAGTAATTGTTGTATTCTGCTACCTTTCCTATCCCCTACTATCCCCCCTCCCCTTCCCTCACATCTTCTCTCTCTACCCCATCTACTGTAATTAATTTCTCTTCTTGTTTATTTTCCCATTCCCCTCACAGCCTCTTATATGTAATTTTGTATAGCAATGAGGGTCTCCCTTCATTTCCATGCAATTTCCCTTTTCTCTCCCTTTCCCTCCCATCTCATGTCTCTGTTTAATGTTAATCTTTTCTTCCTGCTCTTCCTCCCTGCTCTGTTCTTAGTTGCTCTCATTATATCAAAGAAGACATTTGGCATTTATATACCATGGAATATTACGCAGCAGTAAAAAATGACAAAATCATGGAATTCGCAGGGAAATGGATGGCACTAGAGCAGATTATGCTTAGTGAAGCTAGCCAATCTCTTTTAGTTCTTTTGATAGACATTCTTTGTCTCTTTTGAATAGCCTCCAGCTTATCCTTCTTATTAAACTGTGGTGCTCCAAACTGAGCACAGTTCTTTGTACTTAGAGAGCTTATCTGGCATATTATTAAAATGAATTCAACAAATTCATTGTAGATAATGTAAAGAAATTAATACCTAAATTATTTTGATAAAATTTAACCCCATTTTCATAGTTTTTAACATTTTCATTATATAATTCTGGACATTCATTATCTAAAAAGTATAAAATCCTATTTCTAATATTATGATATGACAAACAAAATATAGAGAACTATTTATATTATAATCCCACTTGTTACAATAATAACTCCCCCATAGATACGTGTGTTTATGTGTGAGATTCTGTGTCTGTGTGATTAGGTAGGAAGAAAATGTAGAAATATATATCCTAAGTTGTTAACATAAGTTATCTTGGATGCAGGTAAAAGCTGATGTGGCTAGAATAGGAATGAAAAGTTAGGATTGATTTAGGCAAAGAGGGAAAAGAAAAAAATGACAGTTTAAAGACTGTTTAGTATTATAAATTATTGATGTATAAACATGGTTTTATTCATTCTACTATTGGTACATATTTGGACTGTTTCAGTTGGTGGCTAAATAGTGCTTCTCTGAATATTTTGTTAGGTGGGATATAACCACACATTTCTTTTGGGTTTTAACCTAGAGAATGAAATGGCAAAGAAATAATTATTGTTATATATAATGAGGATGATTCTCAAAGAACAATGTTAACCAAAGAACACATACACATGTAATGAGTATATATATATGAGTCAATTCATAAAAAATATGAAAACAAACTATAGTATTAGAAGACAGGAAAATGATTATATTTCAGGGGTGAGTGACTAAGAGGAGGCAAAAAAAGGGCTTCTAAAATGCTGCTGATGATATTTTTTTATTTGGTTGCTGGGTAAGGCGATATGCTCACTTTGAGAAAAAATTAAATGTCTATACTTTAAAAAATTTACACTTAAATATTTATTTATAAGCATAACTTATATGTAAATTTAAAAAGATGGTGACTTGAGTCCTGTATTACCTAACTTCCCTCTTCAAATCCTACTGGAATGGTTGAAGAAATGAAAATAAGAAAAAATAAAAAGGACAGCCATGCTAGGAAAAGAGCATAAATTGCCAGAATACTGATAAAGGTCTTTTAAGAATGACGTGGATGACATCAGATTGAGAAAAATGCCATTAATGCAAACCAGAACAAAATTCAAAGTACCAAGAGGAAAAGTTCTAAAAATGTCTTCAACTCAGAGTAGCAGTGGTCAGTGAAAGGGTAGCTGTGAGTCATACATAAGGGTAGCTATGGGTTATGCCTCTTTATTATAGCAGCACAAAACAGATAAAGACACTGGAGGGGAGAGAGATCCCAGCTAGCAAAAAAAAAAAAAAAAAAAAAAAACACTAAAAATCATCAAAATATACTGGACACTGTCACTAATATTGAAGGTCTAATAAGTACACTGATAGGGTGGAGGAAAGAGAACACTTCTTTGATGAAGAGGAATCAGGGAAAAGAACGGATATAAATCAGGGAGTGTGAGCCATGAGAGAATCTGGGGAAAGTGCATCCAGGATGAGGAACAAGCAAATGCTAAATAAAGGAGTGAACTTGGCATGTCTGCAAAATAGCAAGAAAAGTCACGTGGTTGTAGCATAATGAGAAAAATGGATGTGAGATCAGAGAGATATCATGGAGCCAGATCACATGCTATCTTGTGGGTCCTTGTGAACACTGAATTTTCTTATGAATAAAACGGAAAGCTGAATGAGGACTTTGAGGAGACAAATAACATGAATTGTATTTAGTACTAAAAAGGATCCCTCTAGCTCCTTTGGTGAATAAAGACTACAGAGGTAAAAGAAAGGAGACTAGCCAAGAAGCAGTTGCAATAACCTAAGTAAGAGAGAATGTTGGTTGGAGTTGAGAAGTAGTAATGGAGATAAGAGTGGTTAGAAGACAATCTACATGGAAGGAAATGCTTCTCAATCCTTCCCTGGCAACTGCATCTTTACCTCAATCTTGGACAACCCCAAGATGTTGCAGCACAGAGTGCAGGAGTGGGGAAGCAAAGGAGCACTTTGTAAGGAACAACTGAAAGATACTCTCACAAAGGCCCAAGTACAAATGCAGGCCACAATTTTCCCTACCTAAGCTTCCTTGGATGGTACACCAAGTAAGGGAAGCTTTTATAACCCCTTTACTAATCAGAATAGAAGCCCCTGTTTTGAGCCCCTTTGTGTGAGCAGTAAAAGAAAGCCTAGCTGCCCACTACCATGCCAGCCTGACCTCAGAGTCTCCCAAGTCACCCAACAGGGATCCAAGTAATGTCGTCTATGTCCAAGGTATCTATTCCAGGAGTTAAAGTGTTTCCTTCGGTATTCACTAATGATCACAGATGCTTGTCCTAATTTTGTACTTTCTAATCTGTGTTCTTCCTTAACACTCTCTACTCTTGTACTATATCAATATGTTTTAATTACTTGGATTTATATTATAAATTCTTCTCACCTTGGATTCTTTTTAAAGAAGTTTCCCAGCTGCTCTTTCATATTTACTTTTCTAAATGAGATTTATGATTTTATTTTGTAACTAGTTTTTAAAATTAGCTGGGTTTTAACTGAAATTGTTTTATAAAGGTTAATAGAGAGAAAAGGTCCATGTTTACAGTATTGAGTCTTCTTCTATTCAAGGAGACAACTTTTTCTTGGTAGATAAATATGCTCATTACCTCTCATTTCATCTTACTTTCTCTTCATTGAGTTTTAGAAAAAAAATGTACTCAGTGTTTCCAGATGAAGTTTCTGATTCCATCAGGAGGTAAATGTCCTATGGGCCAGCTTGGCTACTCTCCTGCAATTTGGGAAAGGCTCTTTTTGGGGCCTGCCCATTTAAGAAGTTAAAGGTTATCCCTAGTTTCCCCAGGAAACCAGAAGTCACCAAGGTTTCTAGGGCTTTTCCCCTTCAAAACACAAATCTTGGATTGATCTAATCACAACTCTTCTCCAGATTAGATTAAACCAGTATGAAGTTGAACTCACTACAACTGTATGGCTTCTACAACTGAATCTTCAGCAACAGTTATTTGTATTTTCCTTATCAATTTCCTCTATAGGAGTAGGACTAAAGATTAAGATCTAGGATTCATTTTACATTAACTATTCTACACCTCTTCTCAGGGTCTCTTTCAAAAGATGATCTTGTCTGCACCTTCACAGAGATTAGTGATATCATTGGATGTACATTCCTTCAATTCTCTTTCCTCCTAAATATGTACTTTCCCCTCTTATAGCTCCTGTTTTAGAAGTATTCTTCATTATCTCCTAATTGAATCTCTTTTTTCCTATGTATTGATCCTCTCTTTCAGAATCTTGTATTGTCAAATTTTCATCTTTCTCATTTATCCCCACCTTCCTTCTCTAAGATCTTCTCTGTGCAGACAGTAGATTTCCTATCTTTAAAAAAGTCCCTTCTATCCTATATTCCTTTATGAATAGCTGTTATAATATTTTCACAGAAAGGTTTCTAGGTAATCATGAGCAAAGCTTTGCTACCTCCATTCAATACTCAACAAACTAACTGAAGATACCTCATTGTACTGCAGCAGCAGCTTTGCAGAAGATGCTGCAGTTTCTTCTTTTTCTGAAGCTGCTGCTGCTTATCCTCTGCTTCCTCCTCCTCCTCCTCTTCCTTTGTATTCTTCTTCCAATTCTTTTTCTGCTTCTTTATTTTAACAATTTCAACAATAATTTTCTAATTGCCAAAGACACTGGACATATTTCAATTCTCTACTTAGCCTTGACATAACATTTGGCAATGCTGATGACTGATGTTTGTCCCTTTGGTTTGATTTTATTCTCCTTGGCTTCTCTCCACTTATTTCAAACCTACTTTTCAAATCGATTATTTTGTTCTAAGTGAAAAAATTACTAATATTTATTGTCTTTTTTTCCTGGGCAACAAATCTGACTGCCTACATGGAAAACTCCATCTATATGTGTGTTACAAGCATGTCAAAACCAGTTTGACCAATACTGGCTGATTATATTTTCCAATTCCTATGTTTCTCCTAATGTATGCCTTCTCTGGATAAATGACACCCCTCTTATCATCTGAGTCAGAAACCTGGAACTTATCCTCAACTTTTTCTCCAGGTTTAATCATTTTTAAAATTCTTATGCAAATATCTCATGAATGTATATACATTCCTCTGTGTCATTTCAATCGCTTCTGATTTAGTTTAGGCCCTCTTCGCCCTTCTTGTTGTCTCACTGCCCTTCAGTCCATATTCTAACACCATTAAAAGGCAAATCTGCTATTCACAGTCACCATGAGATGACTCCTGCCTAACTCTCAAGCTCCTCATTAACCACAACCTCCACAGAGTACCCCAAGCTCTGGCCACAAGTGTAGTTCTATCATTGGCGGGGATGTTCTGTACTTTTGCATATTGTTTTCTCTTCCTAAAATGTCTTTTCTCTTTATCTCTACAGCATATTCTATGCACCCCTATAAATTTTAATCAAGAATCTTCTCTGAAGACCAGTTGTCTCTGGTCATAATATAAGCATACTCTTCTTATGACTCAGATTTAGGTAGGCACATGCTCTGAATACAGCACCTGTCACACTGTATCGTGATGCTTTCACGTCTTTCCTCCATACCAGGTTACATGTTCATTGAGGGAAGAAACTATGAACCTATCACAATGCCTGGCACATGCTAGGTGTTCAGTGAATTTTTGTTAAGTGGTTTGAATTAATTGCTATGCCATAGGTTCCTATATTGTATAACTTTAACAATTTGCTCTACATGACCATTCAGAGTATAATAATAATCTCACTATAGAGGACCAAGTTTCTGTCATGAGAGTTGGGTAAGAAGTAATTCTGAGAAAACTAAATTTCTTTTCTGCAAAGTGAAAATCCTATATGGTCGAATCATTTCCTCCCTTGTATATAAAGAGATTAGAATCCATCAATTATCACTGATGGTTCAAATAAACTCTCTTTCCGCTCTAGGTGAGCAGTATTAGGTTGGGCAATGAGAATCTGGTTCTCCCCGTCCTGTACCTAACTGGGCGCTTTAAAAAGCTACACAGGTGACTGTGGGCCACTCTGCCCTCCTTCCTCCCTTTAAGTCACCCTGACGGTCTCCAAAACCACGTCACTATCTCTCCTTATTGTTATCATTTCCAATGCACTGTTTGAGGTCCTAGGGAGGTCCCTAGATTTCAATGTTGCTTCCTTTGGGTCTTTCTTCAGGAGTGGCTGAGAGAGGAGGGCGGAGCCGACTCTCCGGGCCTCCCTCGTCAGGTATGCCACCAGGTGACAGACACTCACCTTATCCCAGAAAGAGGAGGGATTCCGGGGCAATCCGAGACGGGTCAGAGCTATTTCGACTGCCCAATTCCTCTCTGGTGATAGCAGACGCGACACCGTCTCTAGCTGCGGGCTTGGTGTGTACAGACCGCCCGCTGCGGTTGCCTAGGAAACCCGCTCTCCACCCGCGGAGACCTCGGCTGGAGAAGGGGTAAAACGGGGCGGAGAAAGCAGCGGCCGGCGCGTGTCTGTCACGTGCGGCAGCCTCTAACCAATCAGCAGAGGCAGGGACCACCCGGAAGACCCTCTAGTGCTCCTGGGAAAGGGAGCATCTAGTTTGCGGGTCTCTGGGTACCGCCGCGCGTCTCTTCATCTGCCTTCGCTGGCTCCCAAGACCCCGCAACAGGGTGTGAGCACCGTGGCGAGGACCCCGAGGCCGCCTCCATCCCGGACTCTCTCACGCTGACAATTTTTGACTTACAGGGAAGCATTGAGGCTTGCTGAGTTGAAGCCAGAGCCATGGCGCTGTGATGTCACAAGGCGGCCTGACGGCTGGTCGGAGCCCCGATTCTCAAGGGCAACCTTTCTCCCCGGCCTGCGACCACCGCCCAAAGTTGCCGTGCGCCCAGCGAGCAGAATGGAAGGACCACGCCCGTGAACCAAAGCCCTGGTGCGCGCCAGAGAAGACTTAGTCTTCCCAGGGTCTTGTTCTCGGACAGGCTCTGAAAGTGCCTTTTAAGTTTTCCAAACTGTTCATGAGGCAAGAAAAAAAAAAAAAAAAAACATTTGCAAAATACAGTTTAAGGGGCAAGGGGAGGGACTTTTCTGAGTGTGCAGAGGAATGAATGAATGACCTTAGTGAAAGACAAAACCAAGTAATGCAGCTCTCTTCCCATTGTGTGTATTCTCTCAGTCTGGTAAGGTAAGCCACTGCCTCAGCCATGTGTTGCTGTTGAGCACTTGAAATGTGGCTAGTCTGAACTGAAGTATGCTCATAAAATACGCATAGTATTTTGAAAGCTCAGTATGAAAAAAAGTGAACTATTTTGCTAATATTTTTTATATTGATTACATGTTGAAATAATTGTTGATACATTGGGTTAAATAAAAATATATCAAAATTGTTGTTTCTTCTTTGAAAATACGGCTATCGGAAGAATTTAAATTGCATGCCTTAGATGACTTGGGTTAGGTTTCTCTTGGAGAGCCTCGTTCTATCCTTTGAGGTTCAGGGGGTTTGTGTAGAATACCAGGGTACACTTCATGTAAAATAATGTCTGTAGTGCTATTTTCTCTCACCAGATGGCCTCCTCATTCAACAGACTAGTTTTAAATGGCTCTATCAAGAAAAATAATTGTTAGAAATATTTCTGTTTATCTAACAACTATCAAGAATTATACGTATTTACTGAGATTCAGTTAACATTGTTATCAGTAATATATACTGTAAACACAAGCACATAGAAAAAGGTAGATTTATTTTCATTCTATTTTTATTTCATATAAAATTATTTTCATCATTGATAGCTTAAAAATAAATTATTAAATATATTTGTGGCTTAAGGATTTCAGACTGATGCCAGAAAGAATCTGATTTATACTTTGACTTTTACTATTATCTCTGAAAATCTAGTTGACATCATGACCTGTGTTTGGGAGGTTTTTCTTTTAGAAAATAGACTAATTAGAGGATAATAGTTTATGAACCTTTATAAAAAGATATATGAATCAATTAGATGCATTATCTACATCAATTTTCTCATTTCAGGAAACACATTGCTTTGGGATAATAATATAAAGATTGTCAAAGTATATTGTCTTGTATATTTTCAAACTCTAGAAATCTGTTGTGATTTTCCTAAACAGTGAAGGACAGAAGATAGCTGACACAGGGTTTTCTTTATGTTATGTAAACAATTTATTTTAAGAATGTTACTATTTCTAGGTAAAGCTCAAGAATTTTTGTCAAAAATTGAATCCAAGTTTCTTTATAGCTATAAACTAATAACCACTGGTGACTTGCTGAATTAAAGTCTTTGCCCACAGAAATTCTTTTTTGTTTTATTTTTTAGATGTTGATGGACTTTTATTTTATTCGTATATTTATATGTGGTGCTAAGAATCGAATCCAGGGCCTCACACATGCTAGGCAAGTGCTCTACCACTTAGCCACAACTCCAGGGCCCTGCCCACAGTAATTTTAAGAGAATTGTCTGTTCACATATTCTAGATTTTATTTGAGCAAAGGATACTTGTAGTTAAAAGCCATGGGAGGAATATAGAAACAGTGACCATTTTTGTCAATCTCCTTTTCTTCATCTGAAGTTGCTATATGATGTGGTTTTATGACTGTTCAAAACAAAAGTAGAAATAAAGCCACTAAAAAAGTCAAGCAAGTTAAGTGAAATCAGGCTTCATCTCATTCATAGATGCTCCTAGACAAGGCCAATCCTTTTTTTTAGATTTGTTTACAAAACCTGTTTATTTAAATACAACAAAACATACAAGAGTTCCTGAAGTTATAAATTGTGTCTGTCATTGTATTTTACAGACAATATTGCACCATCAATGTTGTATTAGCTTTTCATCATAATCAAAAAACATCTGAATCCAGTAAACTAAAGGAAGAAAAATTAATTTTTGGCTCACTGTTTCAGAAGTTTTAGTCCAAGTTTGGTTGACTGCATTGCCTTTGGGCCTGAGGTAAGGCAGAGTATCACAGCAGTAGGAGCTTGGCAGAAGAGATTGTTTACCTTATTGTAGCAATAATAAATAATTTATTCTTTTAAAGAGAGGGGGAGAGGGAGAGAGTGGTTGGAGAAAGTAAGGGGCCTGGGGCACAAAGAGCCCTTCAAAACATGACTCAATACCTCCATTCCTAAAGTTTTCATCACCTCTCAATAGCACCATAGTCAACACACGGATCTTTGTGGGACATTCCAGATCCAAACTATAATAAAGGTCAGCTCAAGGTGCAGAGAAGTATTTGATAACACAACCAAGATTAAAACTCTTTCTAGAGATTTCTTGTTCCAGCAGTCAGAGGCTAAGTGTATGATTCCATAGATTAGCAAAGGAAATGGTCAAACATGTTAAGAAAAAATGCAGAATTGGACTATCACAAAACAGAGCTCAAAGTTGAAGTTAAAGGATCTTCATGGAAGTCATCAGATCTTGGGGTGGCAGAGGCCAAAGTCTAGAAATCTGTTGTGATTTTCCTAAATAGTAAAGGACAGAAGAAAGCTGACACAGGCAAAGCAAAGGTGAGTGTGGCTGCTTCGATGGACGGGTGAGTGAAAGCAGCAATCAGAATAGTTGGACTCTTGGAGAAGTTGATTATGGTTCATGGTGTTCCTAGAAGTGAAATACACGAGTGTCTTGTAAATCCTCACTAGATCTGAATAAGCAGATGAGCTCTAGGCTAAGTGACAAAGTCTCACTGACATTCTGGAGGGCTCTGGATTTGTGTTTTCGTCTTCATTTGCTCCATGGAGGAATAGCAGGTAGTACATTGGTAGAAGATCAATAAGGACGGTTATTTCACGGACAGACATTTTCAGAAGCTTCTTGGGAACATCTTTAACCTGTCAGGAAGGTCTGGAGGCCTAGTGGATAAAACAGGTGAGGATCCACAGCAGGGCCGAGGAAATAAGGGTGATGGCTGTGGATTCTTGAAAGGCTTTGTTGAGAGTGGCAATCGAAGGTCCTGTGGGCTCCAGCTGTGCTTCTCACTGCACCAAAAACTTCTGAAGCCAGGTTTTATAGTCACCCATTGAGGTCTTGTGTAAGAACTCAGTCACCTCCTTGTCATTTCCCCACATTTTCTTTCATCCAGTTGGACCCAGGATGAACCTCTGTACACCTGCTATCTGAGCCAAAGTGGAGCCACGTCTGTCCATTGAAGCCAAACTGCCAGGAGCTGTTGGATTTATACTGACAAGACATCCTGCCCTCCAGTGAGTGAAGACTCTGGCCATGTAATTTTGTGCTTTCATATCAGCTAGTTTCTGTTTTAGCATATCCCCCATTTCTCTCAGCCCGGTTATTTTGCTCTTCCCAGGTGACTGTAGTGCACTCAAGGATTTGACCCTGTCCAGGCCACATTCATAGGAGAGAAAATTCTTCTACTCTACCCGGCCTTGGACTATACACCACTGTTGGTCAGGTGAGGGCTCAGAATTGATGATGAAGTCATAACAAAGAGAGTGAGTGCCTTGCAGTGGCAGTGCCAGGCCTACTGTGAGGGAAAGGCCTGCGTGGCACAGGATGTGCAGAAGCAGGAGAAGGGAGTACTCATGCTGGGTCACGGTTGGTGCAGTGAGGAAGGGATCACAGCTGCTCAGTGTTCCTTGGGGGGGGGGGTTGGTGGGCACAGCTCCTCTCCTGAGGGCCAATCCTTATAAAGTCAAATCTATTTATTTAGAGGTAAAACTATCTTTTTGTTTTTGTGTTTTTTTGGTACCAGGGATTGAATCCAGGAGTCTTAACCACTGAGCCACACCCTCAACCCTTTTTTATATTATTTAGAGACAGGGTCTCACTGAGTTGTTTAAGGTCTTGCTAAGTTGCTGAAGTTGGCTTCAAACTCATGATCTTCCTATTTTAGCCTCCAGAGCTGCGGGGATTATAGGAATGTGCCACCAAACTGGTAAAACTGTCTTAATCCAAAAACAATTGGGATGATCTAATACTACTAATAAGAGTTTCAAGCTTACTGTATCACCACTTGGCTTGAAGAATCATTTAACAAGGTACAGGTGGCTTTGCAGGCCCAAATAAGAAAATTTGGAATTTCCAAATTTATTAAAACTTTATGGATTAGTTGTGGTTTTGGGGGGGGCATTCAAAATTTATTTTTTGACAGACAGCATTATTAGGGATTTCTCCATGGACCACACATTTACCAGTGTTGTGAGCTCAATGGCAGGAACCACTTGTGTGCTCTCTGTAACAGTATCCACATCACAGTGTAAAAACGTACTATTATTGTGTGTGCTTACACTTTATGAATTGGTTGTTAAATTCATTTCTCAAAATGAAAAAAAAACTATTCATAGTGTTAGAGAACTGTGGAGATATCTAATTAAAATTCTGCTTTGTAATCCCTTAAATTTAATTCCAGAGAACCAAAAGTCTGAAGACGCAGAAGTCTGAAAAATTGTTAGCTAATTTGATTTTTACATTATAGTAGATTTTTGATGTTTATGTGAGTACTTTCTACCTAATTATAATATTAAATTATCTGTAAAAATTTGCCCCATCTCACATTTGAATTTAATGTATTATGAAAAATCACAAATGAAGCACAATTCAGTATTTACTTTGACAGTGGAAGAAATAATTTTATGGTGCTTATTAAGACATCAACAGAGGCCCATCTGTTAATGACTAGCAATGAATATAAAGATCTAATGAAATGAATATACTAAGTACCATTTAAAAGTTAGGAGTCATTCTGAAACACACTTAAACAGGCCACCAAATGATATTTCTAATGATTCTATCAAAAAATGTAAGTTTTCATCCAAGGTTTGTTGGTATATAATCAATGGACAAGATTTTCTTAAAAGGTACTTTTAAGTACCAAACTGTTAAAAGCTACTTCCTTTGTATCATACAATTTAACCTTATTTTAATATCCCAGATATATTTGTATTTAGCCCCAAGGCAACACATTGAGGGACAGTCAATTTAAGTAGGCTTACTAGTAAGTCTTAATTCACTAGAGAGATGATCATATCTTGTGTGGAAGAAATTTATACCTGAGGCTTAAATAATTGATTGTATTCTTCAGGGCCAAGCACATTATCATCCTAGTACCATATAAGGCCCTCCTCTTACTTTATCTCCAGTTTTTCCCTATACCCTACTCCCAATCTAATGTTCCTTATAAACCTTTAGTTGTACCTTTATAGTTAAAAATCAAACAGTGGTTCTGTGTATATTTTTAATTTACATAACTGGTATCATGATATAGTTTTTATTCTTATTCTTTTTTATCCCATGCTATTTTTTTTCTTTTTTTATTGGTTGTTCAAAACATTACAAAGCTCTTGACATATCATATTTCATACATTAGATTCAAGTGGGTTATGAACTCCCACTTTTACCCCAAATACAGATTGCAGAATCACATCGGTTACACATCCACATTTTTACATAATGCCCTATTAGTAACTGTTTATTCTGCTACCT